CTCACTTTTTGGATGTTTTAGCTATGTTGCTCTTTTTAACTTTAAACTACCTTGTGTCACAAATTTAAGAGGAAGGTGAGGTTCATATTAGTAGTAGGAGGAGTAATTTTTTTCCGTGTCAGAAGCAGCTTGAGAAACTGCAAGTTGCTTCTGGTGTGAGAGAATTAGCCATCTGCAAGGACGTTGCCCAGGGGACGCCTGGATGTTTTACCATCCTGTGGGAGGCTTCACTCATGTCCCTGCATGAGAAGCTGGAGCTGACAGACGGGAGCTCATCCTGCTCCCCGGATTTGAACCGCCAACCTTTCAGTTAGCAGTCTTGCTGGCACAAGGGTTTAACCCATTGTGCCATTGGGGGCTCCATAGTATTAGTAGTAGGAGTAGGAGTAGTAGTAGTAGTAGTAGAAGAAGAATAGCAGCAATAATAATAATAATAATAATAATAATAATAATAATAATAATAATATGTTCTTCAGAAGTTAAAGGTTGCATGCTGAAGCATACTCACTTGGAAGAAAGCATCATTGCAGAGATGAGCAGGCCTGTAATACTTCTTTCAATGAAGCATGTATAGGGCTGAGAGATGTGATACATAGCTTTTTTATTAGAAAATTAGCCAAATTGTTCAAGAAAAGTAGGATTGCTCAGAACCTATCTGTTATGCAATTTAGCTTCCTGCAAGAAAAAAATCTAGGAAATGCAAGGGGAGATATATATATATATATAAAGAAAGACTGAATTTGAGCAATATCATTTGGGTCTCTGGAAAGGAAGAAACTGCGAGCCTGGCAGCTGCAATCGCATGCAAATAGTTGTCAAAGAGGGGAAAATTATCATCTACAAACATTGGGAAGAAATTCCATCTGCTGCTTCCTTCAAAAGGGGCCTTAATACATTCAGAGAAAGCAAAGTTACACACATCTTAATCAAGTCCTAATCCAAGGAATTAATGCAATGTGTGTTTCTGCATAATTCCAGGAATCATGCAAAAGCCATGACAATAGAGCAAGAGCCACAGATGGGGTCCCTTCTTGCACAAAATACTGCATGAAAAGTTATCAGAGCAAACACAGCTCCTTAGCATTTCACATATATGTGTGCCACCAAAAGAGAAAGGGGCAGTGGGGGTGAAAGCATTTATTTGCGTATAGAACTGGGTCAGAATGCTATATTTGCATTCACATACTCTTAAGTAGGCAGGCAAAAATCCATAACATTTTAAAAATTGTTTTAAAATCCTTAATTTTTTTCATATTAGGAAAAAGTAGATATTAGTGTCTGTTAAAGTGTAAGCATTCAATTTTTAAAAAATAGCATTTTGATTGACTTTAGGGCTTTATCGCACCACTCCTTTATGCCTCATTATTCAGTTTGACATCCACTCCTGCCACTCTTGTGAGGGTAGCTGACTGTTGACACCATCTACTGTAGTCTTCCCAAATCTGAACTTCAAGAATGTCATTTACCGTTATTTTCATCTATATTAGTAGCATCATTACCAACTCCTGTGCCTGGCTCCTTGCTTTATGGTTAGTTTATGATTGGTTAGTTAGTTTATTTTATTCTAATGTACCCGTAATAAGCGTTGCAGTGCCATGATGGCATGATAGTGGAACATGTTTTAACATTATGACAGTATAACAGCAAACAAAACAATCAGAAATTTAAAGGGATTTAAACATATTAGGAAAGCCATTTTCCCCAACTGAGATCCAAAGTGATCTGGGGCTTCTCTGCCAGAGTTTCCTTGAGAATCCTTGAAGGAGGGATAACCTGGCAATACTCACACAACGCCCACTGGTGGATTGTTCATGGAAGGGAACGGTATGAGAAATCTACACTGAAACTAGTTATCATCTCAGGGAGAAGCGCAACAGAACCTTTGTGACCCTTAGGCAAGATAAGTCGGATAGCCAAAATGACAGGCCCCCCGGGGTTTAAAGTCCTGCTGTTAAACGCTGTCCATAAATGGCAAAACAGCTTCTATCCAGCATTTGATCGTGGATGAATACGTGGACTTGGCTTGCATCACCAAGACCTGGTTGGACGAACTGGGGGGAGACATCCAACCTCTCCCAGCTCTATCCACCGGGTTTTGGGTTGCATCAGCAGGCGAGACCTGGGGAGCAAAGAGGCAGGGTTGCTGTGGTCTGTCATGAGTCCATCTCCGTGATCAGGTGCCCTGTACCGCAACCACCTACATTTGAGTGTGTCTGTCTAAAAGTGAATAACTGGGACAGATTGGTGATTCCGCTCATGTACCGCCCACCCCGCTGCACAACAGTCTCCCTACCTGAGCTAGCAGGGATGGTCTCAGGGCTGGTGTTGAAGTCCCAACAGCTAATAGTGCCAGGGGATTTCAACGTCCATGCTGAGTCCACCCTGTTTGTGATGGCTCAGGACTTCATGGCTGCCATGACAAGCATGGGGCCATCCCAAATGATATCTGACTCCACTCATGTAGCTGGACACACTCATGATCTGGTTTTTAAGGCATATGGGGAAGGAAGTGTCGGTATGGAGGAACTATCAATTGTTCCATTGTCATGGACTAACTGTAACCTGATTAGGTTTAGACTAACCACAGCCTCTAACCTCCGTGGGAGTGGAGGACCCATTAAGCTGGTCCGCCCCAGGAGACTAATGGATACCTCATTAACAGATTATTTCCAAAGTGGGAGAAAAACATTTTCAATTTCCCTGCATTGCAACCATGCCTGGAGCAGGGGACCCCAAACTAAGACCCTTGGGCCAGATGTGTCCCTCCAAGATCCTTTACTGGGCCCCTGCTCTAAACTTTAGTCTTAGGATTGCCCTAAGTCTGAAATTACCGAAGGCACACAACAACAACCCTAATTAACTTGAATATCTCATCAGGCAAAATCAGACTCACGCATTCCATTGAAATTCTGGTAACTTTATGTTGGTTAAAATTGTCCTTCATTTAAATATTGTTCTTTTAAAAATATATATATACTCCAAATACCATCATGCCTGTGTAAGCTAAAAGTACGTAAATAATTTAACGCATAGCAAAGATGCCAGAAAACTCACAAACAGACATAATTTCCACTCTGGCTCTGGTCAGACTTAGCACCCCCTCCCCTTGTTTTCCCCATCTTGTCTTAAAGTAATAATAATATATTATTTTAGTGGTAGTAGAAGGTCAGTTTGTGCTGTCCCATTTTGAAGAATGTTAGCAGCTGACAAAAATTTAGTATTAGTCATAATAGCAGAGAAATTCATTTCAGTACATTCTTGACCAAAGTTTGTCCATGCAAACCTCTTGAAACCAAACACAGAGCTAAAATTACAATTGGAAATCTGTATTTTACAAGCATGCAATATAATTTGTGTAAACCCCCCCCCCCATCATCCAATTTACAAACGACTTCTAGTTAAGAACGGGGTGAGACAAAAGGAAAGGAGACAAATCTACCCCTCGGAAGTGGAGTTCACTCCTGAAAGAGTTATCATGGGGAAAAGGTGTCTTAATTGAAGCTTTATCACCAGTCCCTGTTTCCACAACAAGCCCAATTTTCCAAAATCCAATTATCACAGAGACAGAAAGTGAGTTGAAATCTTCTGATCAGGGGCACAGAGAGCAAAACAAACACCACAGGGGTGTTAACATTTCCCTATGCTATCCTCTCTCTCTCTCTCTCTCTCTCTCTCTCTCTCTCTCTCTATATATATATATATATATATCACACATATATACAATATGGCTTCAGTTATACTTTTTAAAACCCTTTATACATTTCTCAACTCACTGATAGCTACACTCACAGTACGCTCATTGACTACACTGACCACAAAATTGATATTAAAGTTGAATTTAATTTTTGCATTTCAAATCCTAGCAAGATAGTACCGAGAAAAGAAATTATTGGTGAATTTCTTTTTGTCTATAAAAGCAAACACTTTCAAAAGAGTATAGCATGAGAGGACAGGGAACATTGTTATAATTATAGTAATAATAATCATCATCATCTTTATTTATACCCCTCCACCATCTCCCCCAATGGGAACTCGGAGTGGCTTACATGGGGCCAAGCCCGAACAACAAATTACAATACAAAAAATACAAATTGCAGTAAAATAAACAACATAACATTGAAGTATAAAACATCAAAGCATATAAACAATATATACAGAACATAGAACCAAACATAATGACAAATAGCGGGCCGCATGTACATAAAATGATTTAAAAACTCAGGGTGAGATAAAGGGGCAGAACTATTTGTAAGGGAGAACTCATAGGGAGACAACGCTCATATGAAGGCACTTTTCTCCTGCTCTAATTGTGATTTCACACTTTGTGGGCCGGGCTGGTAGCACAATTGGTTAATCAGCTGCAATAAATCATTGCCGACAAGTGGCAAGTTCGAAGCCCGAGTCAGGCTTGAGCGCCCGACTGTTAATAGCTGTTAAAAAAATAGCTGTTAAAAAAATTGCCCAGCTCACTGTTGACCTAAGCAGTTTGAAAACAACTGTGAGCCGTGAGTAGAGAAATTAGGGACCGCTTAAGCGAGGAGGCTAATTTATGACACCATAAAAATGCCGGAGAGCAAGGAGGAAATACTATGATCAAAAAGGCTCAGCGTCATAGTGGACAAAGTAACATAGTGGAAGAAGCAACAACTCCCCCTGTGACCGTATCGAGCAACCTCCTGGATCCGAAGTGAAAGAACTGCTGAATGACCTCTATCTGTCTGGATGTCTTGTATGTCAAAAACGGCATTGAATGTTTGCCATGTATATGTGCATTGTGCTCCGCCCTAAGTCCCCTTCAGAGTGAGAAGGGCGGAATATAAATTCTGTAAGTAAATAAATAAATAAGGCACTGGGAGCAAAAACAATGGAAAGCTGATGCCTCATCTTTCCATGTAAGGTGAACCCAAACCAAATTGGCCCACACATATTTATAGTATTACTTGCTTCCAAGTAAAGAAACCTTTCATACTAATCTATAAATTCTCCAATATCTCTTCCAGGCAGATGGAGTTCAACCTGCTCACGGACTCGGAAGCCCACAGCCCCACTCTGTCCCTCTCGGAGTCTGGGACCCCTCAACATGAGCACAGCTGTAAGGGGCAAGAGCACAGCGGTAAGTACAAGGAACATTCTAAACAATAACATATTTCCATTGCAGATATTTTGTAGGTGACAAAAGAGAAGTTTGATTTCTCCTTAACAAACTAGAGCAGGGGTCCCCAAACCAAGGCCCATTGATTGAATGCAGCCCTCCAAGGTAATTTACCAAGTCTCCGCCCTAAATTTTAGACTTAGGGTCACCCTGAGTCCGAAAGCATACAGCAACAACCATCCTAGTTAACTTGACCATATCATCAGCCAAGAGCAGTCCCACACTTCCCATTGAAATACTGGTAAGGTTATGTTGGTTAAAATTGTTATTCATTTTAAATATTGCATTGTTCTTTCATGTTTTTTCTGCACTACAAATAAGTAAAGCATAGGGATTCATTCAAGTTTTTTTTCCAAACTATAGTCTGAGGAACTGTGAACCGGCCCTTGGCTTAAAAACTTTGAGGACCCCTGGACTAGAATCTCATATTTTGAGGAACCAGCAATCAAATGTAGCACAAATTGCCCACATAAAATCTTGAATTTCTGTGCAAATAAAAATACTTCCAGTTTTAAACTCATCATTTGCTAACCAAATAAAGTAAAAAAAAACCCCACATCCTTTTAAAAATGATATGCCCAGAACAGAATGCAAAATTTCAGATGAGGCCTTACAAGTGCAGAATATAGAGGATTAGTTCCGCTGACATATGCTTCTTCTATTAATTGAGGCTAAGATAGCACTTGCCTTATTTGCTGCAACATCACACTGCTAGAGCATAAGATTAACCCCAAGGTCCTTTTCACATGTAGTAGTACTGAGCCAAGTATCATAGAGCTGTGCATTTGATTTCTGTGGCTAAAATATAGAATTTTGCATTTGTCTCGGTTGATTTTCATTTTATTAATTTCCGACCAATTTTCTAATGTATCAAGGTCTTTTTGAATTCTCTTCCTATCTTCCAATGTGCTCGTTAGACCCCCCAGTTTTGTGTCATCTACAAAAGGATTCCCTCCATCCCATCATCTTCTAAATCAGCCGTTCTTAACCTGAGGTCACGACCCCTTTGGGGGTTGAGCGACTGTTCACAGGGGATCGCAGGGGCTCCTCCTCCTCTTCCTCCGGCAGTGCGGGTTAGACACATATACATAGGGGAGGTTTAACACCCCTGTGGTGTTTGTTTTGCTGTCAGTGCCCCTGTTCAGGAGATGTCACCTCACTTTCCATCCCTGTGAAAATTGGATTTTGAAAAAATTGGAAACAAGGATTGGAGAAAAAGCTTCAGAGGAAACACTTTCCCCCTTGATAACTCTTTCAGAAATGAACTCCTCTTCCAAAGGATAGATTCCTCTCCCTTCCTGTTGTCTCAGCCCCGTTCTTAACTAGGAGTCGTTTATAACTCAGGGACAGCCTGTGGTCTGAAGAACAACATTATTACACAAATGTGGACAGATCTAAGGGATGAAGTTTTGAAGTAGCTATTGGGAAAACAGTAGTAGCAACAAAAATAATTTTCTGATTGAGGGTCACTACAACATGATTATTTATTTATTTAATTATTTACAGTATTTATATTCCATCCTTCTCACCCCGCAGGGGACTCAGGGTGGATTACAATGAACATATATGGCAAACATTCAATGCTAATTTTGACATACAATGTATACAGATATACACAGAGGCTATTTAACTTTTTCTGGCCGCCAGGGGAGCTGTCGCTTTCATCATCCATCTGCGACACTGATGAAGTACTTCGGCATTCCCTGCATGCTTTCTGCTGGAGTGCTTTGCTTGAGTCTTTTTTATGGCCTCATAAATTAGTTAATTTAGCCTCCCCACACGAGGTGGTACCTAATTTTCCTACTTGACAGATGCAACTGTCTTTCGGGTTGCAAAGGTTGACAACAGGCTACACAATTGGTTGGAAACCCACTCCAACCCGGGCTGGCTTCGAACTCATGACCTTTTGTTCAGAGTGATCTTAATGCAGCTGACACTCAGCCAGCTGTGCACATGAGGAACATGAAGAACTGTATGAAAGGGTGGCAGCATTAGGAAGGTTGAGAACCACTGTTCTAAATCATTGATAAAAATATTGAAGAGTATTGTCCCAAGACAGAATCTTGTGGCTCTTCACTTGGGATTACCTGACAATTTGAAGCGGATCCACTAATGACAACTTCTTGAGCACAGTCCTTAATTTTGAATACAGCTGATGGTGTATCCACCTATTTCATATTTAGTCAATTTTTTTAATTTAAATATCCTGGAGAACCTTATCAAATGTTGTGCTGAAACCCAGATATATGATGTCCACAGCATTCCCACCATCTACTGAACTGGTGACCCAATAAAAAAGGTACAAGAAAATTAGGCAGGATTTGTTCTAGAAAAATCCATGCTTCTGATAAAGATACATCAAACAGATTCCTGTATAATCCATGCTTATATTTTCCTGGTATTGAAGTCAGGCTGGCTGGCCTGTGCTTTCGTGCATCTTCTTTTTAACAAAATGCCAGTCTGCATGGTTTTTTTTTTTTTTGTCATGTCAGGAGTTACTTGAGAAACTGCAAGTTGCTTCTGGTGTGAGAGAATTGGCCATCTGCAAGGACGTTGCCCAAGGGACGCCTGGATGATTTGATGTTTTTATCATCCTTGTGGGAGGCTTCTCTCATGTCCCCACATGAGGAGCTGGAGTCGATAGAGGGAGCTCATCCGCCTCTCCCTGGATTCGAACCTGCGACCTGTCGGTCTTCAGTCCTGCCGGCACAGGGGTTTAACCCACTGCACCACCGGGGGCTCCTAGTCTGTATGTTGAGCTGATGTAAACAAAGAGCTCAGCATATGTCTGCAGCATAATATGTCTCCATCCCTAGCATGAATTAAAATCCTTGTGTACGATTATTGCCTCTTCACTCTTGGAAACTCATACCATCGTGAAACTCTGTGATAGATTTCCCCGCTTTCTTTCTCACAGACACAGAGAAGTCACAGCAAAACCAGACTGATGACTCCAATCCTGAGGATGGCTCCTTGAAAAAAAAGCAACGCAGGCAAAGAACTCACTTCACTAGCCAACAACTGCAGGAGCTGGAAGCCACTTTCCAGAGGAACCGGTACCCTGACATGAGTACCCGAGAGGAGATCGCTGTTTGGACCAATTTGACTGAAGCAAGAGTCCGGGTATGATGGGACCAAATGTATTTTTCTTGCATATGGGTTGAAGGATAAGTCAAGTAACAGGCCAAGCAGAACAGACTTCCATGTGTGCTTGTGTCTTTAACCCCATTCAGCCATTACTGAAGTTTGTTCCCTAAACCCACTGTACATTGTTGTAGCTCGTGTGCAGGATCTCCTCTTCACAAAAGCCCATTTCACACGAGAAAGGCAACTACCAGCGGGTGGGGATGGTGGGTTCCTCCAAGTCTGCACACTAACTATATAAGATTTTGTGTTTGTATTGTTTTTGATAGCTCTGACTTTGAGCAATTCAGGTTTTCTCTAAAGAAGTTATAGCTCTCTGTCAGCCATTCTCTCCAAAATGTAACACTCTCACAGTTTTGATTACTTGTGAGCTTGTATTGCCCCAAAGTTGGGCCTGCCATATGAACATTCACGTGGCAGCCCATCCTCAGGAGATGAGCAAGGGGAGACTATTCTGCAGCTGGACATGCTGTGTGTTTTTGTTTTGCCTGGTAGCTCCATTCCTTTGCCTTGTCAAAAAAAAGGACATTTGTTGCATGCAGGAAGAGGAGGAGCTGATCCTCCACAGACCCATACCTACTACTGCTGTTAGTCGGTTATAACACTTCATCCAATGCACTAGCCTCGGTCCAGCCCTTTTTAATTGCCTTGACTTTTTTTTTTGGCCCTAACAGACAGGCATGAAGAACCAGCAGGATTACTTTTAATATATATGTGTTGCTGTGATAATTTTATGCTTATGTTATTGTGACAATTTTATGCTTATGTTGGTTACTCTGCATGTTGTGGTGTCTGTTACTTGGAAACCGCCCTGAGTCCCCTTGGGGAGATAGAGCGGTATATAAATAAAGTTTTATATATATTATATCCCATGCACCACTTCACTTACCTTGCAGACCTGGCTCCTTTTCCTTTTCATGTGTCATGAGCATCTGTTCTGTCTGGGCAAAGAAAGGGAGATGGGTTGGGAGGACAGAAACATTTGGTACACCAGGCAAGAAGGAAAGAAGACAATCCTCAAGCTAATTGCAACATGGGTACATGTGGGGCTGCTTCCACATATGCCTGCTCTTCCTGTTTACCACAAATCTACGTGTGCTTTTGTCATTTACTCCAGAGCAAGCACACTCCTTGCTGGTCATATAAAAATTCTGACTCGAGCTATTCCCTTTTCTTCCAGGTGTGGTTTAAGAACCGCAGAGCAAAATGGAGGAAGCGAGAAAGAAACCAGCAGGCAGAACTTTGTAAGAACAGCTTTGGAGCCCAGTTCAATGGACTGATGCAGCCTTATGATGAGATGTATGGTGGCTACTCATACAACAACTGGGCGACCAAAGGCCTCGCGGCCAGCACACTGTCAGCCAAGAGCTTCCCCTTCTTCAATTCCATGAACGTCACTCCTCTCTCATCGCAGCCCATGTTCTCAACACCCAGCTCCATTGGATCCATGCCCATGCCCTCCTCCATGGTTCCCTCAACAGTGACTGGTGTGCCAGGGCCAGGCCTCAACAACCTCAACAGTCCTGGCCTCAATTCTGCTGTTTCATCCAGTACCTGTCCTTATGCATCCTCGGCCAGCCCTTACATGTACAGGGACACGTGCAACTCCAGCCTGGCAAGCCTGAGGCTGAAGGCGAAGCAGCATGCCAACTTCACTTATCCAGCAGTGCAGACAGCCAGCTCCAGCCTGAGCCCCTGCCAGTACGCTGTGGATCGGCCAGTATGAGGGGCCAGACCCTCACCCCACCCTACTTCCAAGAACTTGGCCTTTAGCCCAAGAATGCCAACCAGACTAAATTCCAGGAAGGCCCATTTAGTTATACAGTTACAAATGTCTGACAATCTTTTTTGGTAAAGTGAAAAACAATTGCTCGCTGAAAGTCCGTTTGGGAAAGAGGAATGCTGGCCAGGCTCTGAGCTCATTTTTCAGTCCACCCGTGTAATGCGATAGCCTTTCTCTTGCTCCTGCTCCAGCCCACGAACAGGCAACCAGTTCATGAAACAATACAGAGGAACCCGGGGAAATTGATGCAGCTGCTAACACCACTCATAATGTATGTCCATGTGCGTTTCTTATTTCTTTGTTATGCGACTGCTTCCTGCCCTCTTGAAACGCGCAGCGGAGGATAGGATTCTGAGCTAGAAACATCAGCTTTGTGCGACTCAGATCATGCATATTTAACCAATGTTTACACTTTATTGTGAAATGCCTTATGGGCACAATATTTTGTCTCTTCTTTTTTCTTTGCAGAATTTGTCATTTTGTAACCCGGAAAGGAAGGTTTGCTTCCAGGTAAAGATGAAAGGTGTGTGAAGGCAGGTGTGAGAGACATGGGAAGAGTCTGGGGTAAAGCTGAATGGAAACACCTGCTGGGATCCCTCAGGTTCACACTGTTTTCCAAGATTGCCACAGAAGCTGCCCACATGTGACCAAGAGAGGTACGGAGTTTTGACGTCAGGAAAAAAAAATCTCTGAAAGTTCCTAAGATGCCGGCACATGATCCTCCAGCTCCAAGGACATTCCCTTACATGGATGAAGGATCAATGCAGTTCATTCCCTCTTTGGTTTCATGTTGTGCCAAGGTAGGAGTGAATGATCAACATTCCCATATCACACAGAATCCTATCGATTTCCTTTGGCAATAAAGAGCTCTTCCACTCTCCTAGAATAACTCTAATTGATACATAAATAAAACCCGACGAAATTTCCACCAAATTTATTGATGTCTGTTTGTTGTTGTTGAACAAGAGTTGTGTCCCTTGGGCCTCATGATGATGAATTAAGCCTTTTAGGCCAAAATATCAGCATGCATAATTTTCTTATAATCTATATAAAAGACTTAAAAAGCCAAAAAATATAAAAAATACATTACAACACATGCGTAAAACCACTTATATATACACACAAAACATACACAGACTGGGCCATAGCAGTGCATGGCAGGGGATGGCTAGTACATATATAAAAAAGCTTAAATATTAGAAACGCAGGGTCCTCAATTTTGTATTCTAATAATGTAGAAGTTCAAATACCACGTTAAAATATTGGTACTCTTAACTTCTTAAGTTTACATTTGCTTGTAATATTTTCAGGCAATCTTGCTCAAGCTTCCAATGTTTGGATATTTGAATTAATATGAAGTAACAATGTTTTCAAATGATTGCACTATGGACCCTTCCTCACAGCGGAATCAAATCCCACATTATGTGCTTTAAACTGGGATATATGGAAGTGTGGACGCAGGTAACTTTGGGCCCTTCCCCACAGCCCTATATCCCAGAATATCAAGGCAGAAAATCCCACAATATCTGCTTTGAACTGAGTTATCTGAGTACACACTCAGATAATGTGGGATTTTCTGCCTTGATATTCTGGGATATAGGGCTGTCTGGAGGGACCCATAGTGTAATCAGAAAAAAACAAACAAAACAGACATCCTTCTCTTTTACTGGTGGTGCAATGAGTTAAACCCTTGTGCCTGCAGGACTGCTGACCAAGAGATCAGCAGTTTGAATCCAGGAAGAGCAGGTTGAGCTCTCTCTGTCAGCTCCAGTTCCCCTTGCATTGACATAAGAGAAGCCTCCTAGAAGGATGGTAAAACAAAACATTTGGGCATCCCTTGGGCAATGTCCTTGTTGTTGTTGTTGTTCATTTGTTCAGTCGTCTCCGACTCTTCGTGACCTCATGGACCAGCCCACGCCAGAGCTCCCTGTCGGCCGTCACCACCCCCAGCTCCTTCAAGGTCAGTCCAGTCACTTCAAGGATGCCATCCATCCATCTTGCCCTTGGTCGGCCCTTCTTCCTTTTGCCTTCCACTTTCCCCAGCATAATTGTCTTCTCTAGGCTTTGCTGTCTCCTCATGATGTGGTCAAAGTACTTCAACTTTGTCTCTAGTATCCTTCCCTCCAATGAGCAGTCGGGCTTTATTTCCTGGAGGATGGACTGGTTGGATCTTCTTGCAGTCCAAAGCACTCTCAGAACTTTCCTCCAACACCACAGTTCAAAAGCATCTATCCTCCTTCACTCAGCCCTCCCCAAGGTCCAGCCCTCACATCCGTAGGCTACTACAGGGAATACCATGGCTTTGACTAAGCGGATCTTTGTTGCTCTCCTCCCAAGAAGTGATTTCCTGGCCACAGTCTGCATCTGCAGTAATCTTTGCGCCTAGAAATACAAAGTCTGTCACGGCCTCCACATTTTCTCCCTCTATTTTCCAGTTGTCAATCATTCTTGTTGCCATAATCTTGGTTTTTTTGATGTTTAGCTGCAACCCAGCTTTTGCGCTTTCTTCTTTCACCTTGATTAGAAGGCTCCTCAGCTCCTCCTCGCTTTCTGCCATGCCCATCCCGTCTTGGGTGGCCCTTCACGGTTTCGTTCATGACATCATTGAGATGCTCAAGCTCCAGCGCCACAACAAGGCGGTGATCCTTTGCTGGAGGGGCAATGTCCTTGCAGATGGCCAATTCTCTCACAGCAAAAGAGACTTGCAGTTTCTCAAATCGCTCCTGTCACCCAAAAACAAACAAACAAACAAACAAACAAAAAATGAGCAGAGCTCCTTTCCTGGTGTATGAAGTTATTGCCTTGCTAGGGAAAGATCTGTCAAATATTGACCTCTTCTATACAGCTGTATAAAATCCAGATTATCTGCTTTGAACTGGATTATCTGGCAGTGTAGAATGGCTCTTTGTTACATAGTATTATTTGTTGCACATTTCAGCACAGACATCTGTTTAATACTTGACCTTTCAATGGGGATACAAGTATGTCTGGTTTAAATTGATATAGTTAMKWSATKCATGTTATATGATACTGTTTTTCCACATAATGTTGCTATTTCTGCTGGCAGTTTCGGGCCCCTTCTACACTCCCATATAAAATCCAGATTATATGGGTCATATGGCAGTYTAGACTCATATAATCCAGTTCAAATACGATAGTGTGGATTATCTGCTTTGACAGTTGGATTATATGGCAGTGTAGAAGGGGCCTCATATAGGAGGATGTGAGAAGGGAGGTGGAAAGCTTGAGTCTTTCTTTGGGAATGCAAAGTAGAGTACAAATTACATAGATACATTGTAAAGGAAGATGGAGTTCACTTCCATTTAGTGGTGCTTTCCAAAGTAATTCATATTAGATTCTATGTTTTTAAAAATGGCCAAACCGCAAACATATTAATATGTTTAGTTGATGTATGTTTCATGCTTGCACAGTTACAAATGAAACATAAATCGTAGCTATGCATTTCCTCAGAGTTTCTTGAACTTTGATACTCACAACCCTTTTGGCCTGAAAGTTTTTTATGTGGCCAGGATATATAGGTATATAATAAAATAAAATAAATATAAAAATCTAACAAATACTGATAACAAGTCAGCATTTGTAAGGCTTGGTAAACAAGCTGATTTGTCTCTCCATGAAGGACAGCTGAATCATCTTCTGCAGAGTCCACTATAAACACTGCCCAACAGAGTCAGAAAATACAGTTACTGGGGCCCCTTCCACACAGCTGAATAAAATCCCACATTTTCTGCTTTGAACTGGAACATATGGCAGTGTGGACTCAGGACCCTTCCACACAGCCCTATAGCCTGGAATATTAAGGCAGAAAATCCCACAATACCTGTTTTGAACTGAGACATATGGCAGTCTGGACTCAGGGCCCTTCTACACAGCCCTATATCCCAGAATATCAAGGCAGAAAACCCCCACATTATCTGAGTGTGGACTCAGATAACCCAGTTCAAAGCAGATATTTTGGGTTATATGGCTGTGTGGAAGGGCCATGGGTGACAGTCAGAAAACTTTGACTTTTGCAAAATTTGTCAGGATCCCAACATTGAGCTAAGGGAGCCCTATTTGGGGTCAGGAGCCACAGTTTAAGAAGCAGTGTATTATTTCAACATTTTTCTTCAAAAACAAGCCAGCTAAAGCCTCCCATCAACCACTGTACAGCTTCTCATGTCTATATATTTATCTTTAGTGGAGATTAATAGCAGTGTTCATCATGGGCTGTGCAAGACATGGTGTAAAGTGCCCTCAAAGCCCAACCTGGGACCCCAGAAGGTCTGCCAGAAAGTGCTGTCCTTTGTTTTGGTCACTTCTGCATTGAAAGTTCTAGAAAGCTGAGATAGCAAAACAAAACTCTGCTTAGTTTAGCACTGGGAAGGAAACACCAAAGAAGGAGCATAACTGCAGTCACCAATGAAGCTTTACTCTCCAGAGCCACAAATAAGTGTGTGTGTGTGTGTGTGTGTGTGAGAGAGAGAGAGAGAGAGAGAGAGAGTGAAAACAGGCTCCGCCACCAGAAGTGTAGTAAAGCCAAGGTTCAAAGGCTTGAAACCCTAGAATATTTTGTCTATCAAATATACATCAGCAAATATCAATATCTATATAAATAAAAATGTAATTTTCATTTGTGGGATTAACATAACTCAAAAACAACTGGATGAATTGACACCAAATTTGGACGCAATACACCTATCAGGCCAACGAGTGACCATCACTCATAAAAACACTGAAAAACACAGTAGAAGGCACTTAAAAAGCCAAATAAATAAATAAATAAATTACAATGCATGCGCAAAACCACACACGCACACACACACATATATATATACACATGTACACAAATATATACACATAGGTAAAGGTTTTCCCATGACATTAAGTCCAGTCATGTCCAACTCAGGGTTGGTGCTTATTTCCATATATGTATATACACATGAGTCCCCCTGTGGGGGGGGGGGGTGTTGAGAAGGGTGGGGTACAAATAATTGAAATAAATAAAAAATAAATATACATAAGTATATACACATCTGTACACACACAAAACACAGACTGGGCCATAGCAATGCGTAGCAGGGGTTGACTAGTCAACATATATACATGCACATATCCGCAGGTTTCCCCCACCACTTTCCTCTTCACTTACCTGCCCCAAAAGAAATGAAAGTAACACTTTGGACCTTTCCACACAACCCAATATCCCAGAATATCAAGGCAGAAAATCCCACATTAGATAACCCAGTTCAAAGTAGATAGTGTGAGATTTTCTGACTTGATGTTCTGGGATGTAGGGCTGTGCGGAAGGGCCCTTTCTTTTTGAACAAGGTGTCTTCTTCCCAAACTGGGTAGTTGTAGGCCTTCCTGCAGGTTCTTTCAGTACTGGACAGTAACATGGATTAACTAATTTTGTGTAAGTATTCTTGATGGTACATAGAGAAGCATACTGGTATTTTTGCTCATGAGTTCAAGCATCCCCTCACATCTAAAGGGAGAACTTTAGCAAGCAAATTTGATCAGACTGTATTAGCCAGAAATCAAATTCAGCACTGCTGGTTCTTCAGAGGAAAAGTACTTTCCCCCAGGTAAAGACAATGGAATATGATACAGAAGAAAACAAATATCATCAAAGTGTATAAAAATGGCCCATCTTCTCCAATACAAGCAGATTAGCAACAACATTTCCTTTTAATTCTCAGTCGTCATATCTTTCCCCAACCTCAAACTACAAAGTGAATACAAAAAGCATCCAACAAGTTAAGACAAATTAGCCCTTTCACAGATAGCTGTTAAGATTTTACCAAGATGCTCTCCAAATCCAACTCTCATATGCTCTAGCTAGTTTACCCAATGGCCAGGAATTCTGGGAACTGAAGTCCAAAACACCTGGAGAGCCACAAGTTTGACAAGTTTGACACATGTTAAATTACCCATTTTTTCCAGCAGGTGGAGCTCCTAGCCCATAGCTTGTTTATTTTGGCCCAGTTTTCTAATCTATATTTGCATGTGGTTTCTGATTGGCCAGCCTCAACATTCTAACATTCTGATTGGTTCCCACTGTGGTATAATTTGCATATGGTTTCTGATAGGCCAACCTCAACATTCTAACATTCTGAAGGATGGACCGTGGATGATTGGACTTGCAGTACCTTCACTCACTTACTGAAACCACTGCGATCCTTATCCAATGACCAATAAAGACCAAACTTGGCACACAGAGCCCCCATGACCCACTCTACATGCTGCTGCGCTTGGAGGAGGGTGGACCATGGATGATGGGACTTGCAGTACCTTCACTCACTTCCTGAAACCACTGTGATCCTTATCCACTCACCAATAAAGACTAAACTTGGCACACAGAGCCCCCATGCCCCACTCTACATGCTGCTGCGCTTGGAGGAGGGTGGACCATGGATGATTGGACTTGTAGTACCTTCACTCACTTCCTGAAAACAATGCGACCCTCATCCAATGACCAATAAAGACCAAACTTGGCATACAGAACCCCCATGACCCACTTTCTCTAATTACCCAGGCAGTGCCGGGTACCGAAGCTAGTCTGTTAAAAAGTCATTTTGAATTCTGATCCTGTTTTTTGGAATATTAGCTATCCCTCTCTATTTGGCATCAACTGCAAACTTAATAAACATGCCCTCTAAACCTTTGTCTGAGTCATTAATAAAGTTGAACAGCACTGGGCCCAGTATCAAACCCTGCGGCATTGCTAGTCACTTCTTTCAAGGATGAAGATGAACCATTGGTGAGCACCCTTTGGGTTTGGTTGTTTAACCAATTACAAATCCACCTAATAGTGGTATGATCTAGCCTACATTTTACAAGTTTGTTTGTAAGGTCATAGGGGACCTTGCCAAAGGCCTTACTGAAATCAGTTTTTCTATGTATTTATCACATTGTAGTACAGTACTTTCCTTCTGAAAATGCTTTGAGTGCTGCCAACACCCAGAGAAATATCGTTCATTATTTTTAAAGTGCCCATATTCTTGTGTAGGCATTCTTTCTGTCATATCATGGAACAATCTAACATCCTTTGACAAATTATGTAATTTACCATAATGACTTTGAGGCTTCGAAGCCATTCCTTCTGCTCCACTGGTATTGAGATGCTAAGGTGGGTGTGAGTGATCATGCTTGAGTGGAGGCCGACTGCCCCCCAGCAATCTCTTCCCATACCTTTGGAATGTCATTCTCAAAACAGTGATTGGCAGAAGCCATCAAGGACTTTTTGTTTTTACACGACACTGAGCATGCCCGAGTGGGTGGGGAATTCCTGCTTGCTAGCAGTTCCTCCCATTGTGTTTGAAGGGCAGTTTTCAACATTGTGCTCTGAACCTAGTGGTAACATCTGCAGTTTTAAATTGATATTGGGACCTGTTGTAACTCTTCGTGCTATTCTGTTTCAGTATTAGTTATCATTTTCTTTTCCTGATGTTACGCCGTTTTGCTCTCATCAATTTTTCCAGTTGTAATTAGTTTTATATCATCTGTCAAACTCTCACTTGATATTAGTATTCCTAAGTTAGTTGCTTTCTCTTCCTCAGAAACTCATGTATTGGCAATCATCTGAGCATTTGTATTTAATTTCCCCCCCCTGTAACCCATTAGGTTTTTCCACCATCAATTGGATTTGGCTATAGTAACACATAGGCGATAGTGGTGTAGAAGGTTAAACCACTAAGCTGCAGAACTTGCTGACTGAAAGGCCAGTGGTTCAAATCCACGGGATGGGTGAACTCCTACTGTTAGCCCCAGCACCTGCCGACATAGAAGTTCAAAAACATGCAAATGTGAGTAGATCAATAGGTACCGCTTTAGCAGGAAGGTAACAGCATTCCATGCAGTCATGCCAACCACGTGACATAAGAGGCGTCTATGGACAATGCAGGCTCTTCAGCTTAGATGAACACGAGCACCACCCACCAAAGTTGGACTCGACTAGATTTAACGTCAAGGGTAAACTTTACATATAGCAGTGGTTCTCAACCTCCCTAATGCCGCGACCCCTTAATACAGTTCTCTCATGTTGTGGTGTCCCCCAACCATAACATTATTTTTGTTGCTACTTCATAACTGTAATTTTGCTGCTGTTATGAATCATCATGTAAGTATCTGATATGCAGGATGTATTCATGGGATCAAATTCGGCACCAATTCCTTATACGCCCAAATTTGAATTCTAGTGGGTTGAAGGGGAGATTGATGCTGTAATTTGGGAGTTGTAGTTGTTGAGATTTATAGTTCACATACAATCAAAGAGCATTCTGAACTCCACCAACAACTGAATTGAACCAGTCTTGGCACACAGAATTCCTATGACCAACCGTAAATACTGGAAGGGTCTGATAGGTATTGACCTTGAGTTTTGGAATTGTAGTTCACCTACATCCAGAGAGCACTGTGGACTCAAACAATGATGGATCTGGACCAAACTTGGCATGAATACTCAACATGCCCAAATGTGAATACTGGAGGAGGTTAGAGAAAATAGACCTTGACAGTTGGTGGGATTTAGAGTTCACCTACAATCAAAGAGCATTCTGAACTCCAACAATGAGAGAATTGGGCTAAACTTCCTACACAGAACCCCCATGACCAATAGAAAATACTGTGTTTTCCGATGGTCTTCGGCGACCCCTCTGATACACCCTCGCGACCCCCCCCAGGGGTCCCGACCCCCAGGTTGAGAAACACTGACTTATAGTAACACATGCTTTCACTTACACCCTATTTGTACTACTGTAATGTACTCTATGTGGGGACACCTTTGAAATTGTTCAGGCACTTTTGCATGTCCATAATTTTTCCTTCTAGTCACAATTCAGAAGTACTAATTGTGACCAATCCAGTTGAGATCCAGACTATTTCCCAATCAGAACCACATGGGAAGGCTTTCTCTCGGTCCTCCTACCTTTCTCAGTGAAAGATGGTATATAAACTGGAAGACATTGTAGCACCCATTTCTAGGATTTCCCAACTCACTGTATTATACATCTAGACAGCCTAATTCACAGCTCTAACAGTCCAAACTTTATAAGCATAAGAGCTTTAGGTGCTTATTTACTCATGTTAATGGCTCATGAATCAATTTAAAGAAAGAAATATAAACAAAAACATTTGAACATTTACAAAATGTTTTTATTGTAATAGAGATCCTTGTTTATTAAAATATCTCCAGTCCACCCCAACTTTAAAGTCTTTGTACTATTAGCGTGGAATTTTAATACAAAACAGATGAGAGTTGAGGTGTTTGAAAGAACAGGCTCTCTGGGCATTTCCATTTTTTAACCCTTAAGTATCAACTGCGGACGGATTCTGAAACACCCTTGGATTCGCACCTACAGCAGCAACCTCAACAGATTGCCAGATTGTACCAGGTTTGATGGGAGAAGTGAGAGCTTGAATGCTTCCCTAGGGAGTTGGGAGAAGGCCTCCTAACAGTCACCACACCACTCCCCCTCAAGTATGTGCTTTTCCCACATGCTTTGCTTCCCACATGAAACTGGCAAACCTCTAGGCCCCATTGACTAGAAAGAAATACTAAGGAGACAACTATGTTTCTCTGGCTAGCATTACCATGTCTGACATTGCAAGTTTCTCTCAGTAAAACCTTAACTGGAACCATGTTGACTGGGGGAAAAATCCATTAATTATTTTCCTTAAAGCAAAGGAAATAGATGGAACAGAACTTTCTCTAGATGCAACTGTACAATATCAAAACAAAGCAGAGGCCACTCCAAACAACTCAGTAGCCCATAGAAACATTATGGTAATCCTCTTATTTCCTTCTGATTGCAAAACAGGATCACCAGTATAAAGATGGCAATGAACTCTGCAGCTACTTCACTGGTTTCTGAAGCAACTGAAAAAAGAGTTGTAGGACAATCAGTGGTTATCAGGGCTATGGCCAAAACTTTGGAGGAAAATGATTTACTTAAGCTCAGGCAAGGCTACTCAACTCATACACAAAAGAAGGATGTTTTTTAAAATGCCCGATATGAAGACGAGATTGAAAAAGATAAAACAAAAACAAAACCTGAGAGCTGGAAACTGTTCTACTTATTAAAAGACATTCAGCAAGGAATCCCATAGGGTGTGGAAGGCACAAATATTAGATATTAGACAACTTTTAATTTCCTGCTAAATGTGTGTGATGTCACAGAGGCAGGAAATAAAAAACTGTATGTTACTCCCAATGTACACCAAGATTGGTTGGGAAAAAATCAAAATGGGGCCACCATAGTTTCATCAGGAATGCAAGAACTTAAAGCCCTGCCATTTAAAATTATAATAAAAGTGTGCATAATGGGGCAAATCTAGGAAAACCCAAAGAAGCGATCGTGCATCTCCACTAAAAGTCCCATAGATAAATTTTGCTCTCAACCAAACTGGCAACTGTCCTCACATGTGAACCGTATGGGGGCTGCGTGAATTGTCAGAAAAGACAGCCACTTCATTGCTCAAGCCTGAGATTCTGGAGACAAAATGGACACTCAGTCACTCTCAAATTTGATGGAGTTTATCTCCGTAGAGATACTGCCACCACAGTAGCTTCCTCTTTTTTTCTTTGTCTTCTCATGTCGGAAGGATTTGCCTTTTGTAAATTTCAGAACGTCATTTGCCTTTTGACCCCAGTCTCCTTCAGCTCCTTTCTAAGAGAAATGAGAGCCAAAAATAATTAGATAGGAAAACATTAAATTTAACTTCAATATATTGTATATACTCAAGTATAAGTTGACCCGAATATAAGCCGAGGCACCTAATCTTACCACACAAAAATGGGAAAATGTATTGGCTTGAGTATAAACCAAGGATGGGAAATGCAGCAGCTACAGATAACTTTAAAAATAAAAATAGATACCAATAAAGTTACATTAATTGAGGCATCAGTAGGTTAAATATTTTTGAATATTTACATAAAACTGTAATTTAAGATAAGACTGTCCAACTCTGATTAAACCATTATTCTAACCTTCTTCAATGTAAATGTGCTTACGTATCTTTCCAATAATTATAAAGAGTAAAATAATAAATGTATTAAAAAATAAAAGAGTAAAATAATTGAAATGTAATAATAACAGTAATAATTGAGTAAAATAATAAATGTAATAAAAATAAATAGAACAAATAATAATTGTAATAATAGAGTAACATAATAAATAGATCAATAATATAGAGTGAAATAATTTAATTGCAATAATAATAATAATAATAATAATAATAATAATAATAATAATAATAATAGCAAAATAATAAATGTAATAATAACAACAACAGAGTAAAATAATAAATAACCTTGACTCAAGTATAAGCCAAGGGGGGCTTTTTCAGCCCAAAAAAAAAGCGCTGAAAAACTCAGCTTATAGTCAAGTATATATGGTAAGTTTGGCTTCTGAAACAAACATCCRCCTTTAGAAAGCCCTAGACAGATTCTTACTTTTAAAAAATTATGCAGACCGTTTAAATKATAGCTTCCTAGCCTCTTCTTACCTTAGCATCAAATGAATTATTTGCTACTCGCTCATCCACTTCTATCTCCTCTTCTTTTACTCTACGGAAAGGGCTAGACTGCTGTTGAAAGAAAATGTGCATTTGTTATTTCCTGCAGTAGAGGTTATGGAAGCAAAAAAAAAAAAAAAAGAAAAAAAAAAGGATGAAGTAAAGGTCTGGGCCCAGAGTCACAGATACTCAGAAATTCCTGTCTTTTTTAGTACTTCAGAGTTCTATGGGACAGATGAAAACTTCTACAAAGAAGTGTTTTGAAGCTCTCCTCATGAAAGAAAGCAATAAATCCCTTTTACTCACCCGCTTCATCTTGGGGAATGTGTGTGGCGTTCTAGCTTTCATTTTCTTGTTCTCTGGTGTTTCCGACTCCTGATCATTTTCCCTTTTCCGCTTCTTCTTGGGCAAACCTGTCATGTTTCCCATACATATCAGAATTCAATAAAATCACACTTTACTCTAGGAAAAGGATGCATCACTGGGCAAAAGAGCAGCTACTCAATAAGAACTAAAGGATGGGAAGAAGACTTTGCTGAGACTTGTCTCTGATGCAATTTTAGTGAACATTAGGAGCTGCCAAATAGCAGTGATGACAAAGAACAGATTACACTACTAATTGACAACCCAACATATAAAAGCAAATTATAACTTAACAACTAAAAATAAATGAAAAATGCAACCTATTATATGTCAAACATGAAACAAAACATCAAACATCAGCATCAGTTTCCCAGTTCCTTGGGGGCAAGTAAGACTGATCATTGCTCAAGATGTCTATTGACCTGGTGGGGCGAAAAGGGCACAGATACGGATGGCAGGTATTAATCAAAGGTATAATGGTAGTATTACTATTTATTCCTTCTTCTCCTCATAAACCAACGAGAAAAGGTATGTTTCTTAAAGGTGGGGAGGGAGGGAGGCATCTTTAATTCCTTAGGAATGGAGTTCCAGAGGTAGGGGCAGCCACAGAGAAGGCCCTTTCTCTCATTCCCACCAGCTGCACTTGGGATGGGGATGGGACCGAGAGCAGGGCCTCATCCGATGACTGCACTGTCCGAGTTGGTCTGTAGTGGGAGATGTGGTTCGTCAAATAGACTAGACCCAAGTCGTTTAGGGCTTTAAATGTAATAACCAATACTTTGTATTTACCCCAAAGCAGACCGGCCGCCAGTAGAGCTGCCGCAGCATGGGAATGGTTGTCTCCCTGAAAGGCGCTCCAGTTTGTAACCTGGCCCCCAATCTCTGGACCAGTTGAAGCTTCCGAACCATCTTCAAAGGCAGCCCCACATCAAGAATGATGCAGTAGTCCAAACGGGATGCAACTATCCTGCTGGAGGTGTAGCCAGAAACTTTTTTGATCCTGCCTGCTAGCCATGAAGCACAGAGTGGTCATGTGGGCCAGATTCAGGATCTTTACAGTGAATCTGGGAAGTGGTTTTGGCTTTGGGCCCTGTGGTGGAGGAAGGGAATTCCAACCACTGCTGTGTCTGAAACAGGACATCTGCATGTGTTAGGGGCATTTACGCATGTGTATCTCCTTAGAAGAATTGGTTTGCATAACATGAAACAAAGGTTTAGTACTAGAGTCAGAAATCTTTATGTTTTGAGGGCCTACCTCCCAACCTTCCTTCTTAGCACCCACACAAACATATTCCTCTCACATCCTAATTGGAATGTATGGGAAAGGTGAACCTTTCTCTAGAAGTTTGCCAGGATCGCATTTCTAGCTTGACCTTCTGCCTAGCAGATTTATGCTTGGAACAGCTAAAGAGTAAGTCATTGATTGTGCCCCTCGGCGACCTCCAATACTAAATAGCTGGCAAGAGTTAAATAAGATACAGAAATGGACAGCAGCTGCAGACTGCACAGATTTTCTGTTGGTTTAATTGTTAATAAACTGTGTTAAGTTCTTCATAAATGACTAATGACCTACCTCCATTCTCAGCTTCTTCACCAGAACTATTGGCCTCTGAATCACCAGTTGCTTGAGATTTTTTATTTTTTGATGCTGATTGTTTCTCTTCGATATTCGATGAAGTCTTGGGCTTCTTCTTTTCAGGTGTACTGTTGCTATCCTTTTCTTTCTTTTTCATTCCTAATCCTGCCTTTTTGGGCTCCTCGTCACTTGAACTATCAGAAGAGCTGCTGCTACTGCTTTTAGGTGGAGCCTTTTTTCCCACCTTCACACTGCTCCCCCCTGACAACTTGTTGCTTGGTTTCAAGGTGGGCTTTTTTTCTTCTTCCTCATCTTCACTACTGGAGCTGCTTGAATCTGAACTGCTTGCTTTGGATTTTGAGACCAGTTTGGTAGTTTTTGCACCAAGTCCTTTTGCGGAATCTTTCTTATCAGCAGTGCCGCCATTTGCTTTTTTTGCCACTGTCACCACAGGAAGCTTTTTTGTTGTCTTCACAGGAACTTCATTCTCAGAACTGTCAGAATCTACAAAAGACATTTCCAACTAAAATCACTGGCCATCCTCTTTTCATTGTTCAACATTAAAATGAGGAAAAGAATGTGTACAAAATGGCAAATCAAGATTCCAGATGTCTCAATATCTAAATAAGATTAGGACAACCCCCCCCCCCTGCACCCCAATAATTCAAAAGAGCGGCTCATTGGGATCATCAGTGTGTGTGTGTGTGTGTGTGTGTGTGTGGTTTTTTGGGGGMTTTTTTTGTGTGAGGAGCAACTTGAGAAACTGCAAGTCGCTTCTGGGGTGAGAGAATTGGCCATCTGCGAGGACGTTGCCCAGGGGACACCTGAATGTTTTGTCATCCTTGTGGGAGGCTTCTCTCATGTCCCTGCATGAGGAGCTGGAGCTGACAGAGGGAGCTCATCTGCGCTCTCCCCAGATTTGAACCTGCGACCTGTTAGTCTTCAGTTCTGCCGGCACAGGGGTTTAACCCACTGCGCCACCGGATCATAGAATTCAATGGCATTTCCTGTCAAGTCTGGCATATGGGTTCTACATTCACCTTAGGATTTTTTTTATTAGGAGGTGGAATAAATTAGATAAATCCATAACATTTATATCAGAAATTAATATTCACAGGATGAATGAACAGATCAGATGAATAACAGCTCTCAGTCAATGATCATATAATTGCCATTGGGGCTTTGTCAGGACCCTTCTAGATTGACTGTTAATGTGCTAATGTCCAGGGACATCCTCAACCACCTTGGAGCCCCTGGTGGCGCAATGGGTTAAAGACAGACACACACAACACCTTGGAGGCAGGAGAGAGTCCTAACCATCTCTTATGTGTGACTGTCCCCAGCCACAACTTGACACCCATATCATATTTGGTGCTCTGGCTGATGCACCAGGACTGTGGTGCAGCTGGCTGGGAGTCAGCTGCATTAAGATCACTACTGACCAAAGGGCCATGAGTTCAAAGCCAGCCCGGGTCGGAGTGAGCTTCCGACCAATTTGTGTAGCTTGTTGTCAACCTTTGCAGCCCGAAAGACAGTTGCATCTGTCAAGTAGGAAATTAAGGTACTACTTATGTGGGGAGGCTAATTTAACTAATTTATGAGGCCATAAACATCTCCAGCAAGCATGCAAAGAATGAGGAAGTGCTTAGTGTCACAAATGGACGGTGAAGCGACAGCTCCCCTGGTGACCAGAATACCCTCATGAAGGCCAGAATACCCTCATGAAAAAGCTGGATTGTTAAATAGCCTCTGAGTGTCTGTCTATATATGTTGTGTGTCTATGGCATTGAATGTTTGCCATGTATATGTACATTGTAATCCTCCCCGAGTCCCATGCGAGGTGAGAAGGGCGGAATATAAATACTGAAAATAAATAAATAATGTCAGAGTGCCCAAGAGAAAGTAGGTGGGGTGATGCGGTTACTGATAGTCACGATATAGAAGAAGGACAGAGGACCGCCATCCCATGTCCCTGAGCCACCTAAGCTTGGGGAACACATTTTGGCAGTCAAGACAACTGTGGCAGGTTCTGGTTAGGAACTCGCCGAGATGTCTTGACAGCCCTACAGTAGGATTTGGGCTTTCCCCCAACTACTACTATGACTTCTTATTATGAATTAACTTTATTTCTACCCCGCTTTGAGAACTCAAGGCAGATTACAATAACGACATAACCCAGTAAATTTAAAAACATGGGCAATAAAAAATTCAGAATCAATTAAAAACCAGTTGAATGTTAAAATCCAATTAAGGTACAATTAAAAATACTCATACAATTAAAGTGACATTTAAAACACCCTGCCCTGTAAAATCCCACCCACAACCACTCAAGCAGCGTATCCCTCGTCCTCCCCCAAATACCTCATGACAAAGATATGCCTTAATCTTCCTGCAAAAGGTAAGCAGGGATGGAGCCCACCTGGTCTCTCTTGGGAGGGAGTTCCAAAGTCTGGGAGCAGCCACTGAAAAGGCCCTCTCCTTGTTCCCACCAAACGAACGTGAGAGGGTGGTGGGACAGGGAGAAGACCATCCCCAGAGTTCTAACAGGTTCATAGATATATAGTCCTTAGCTTAGCCTGGGATGGAGCCTTGCCTTTGGTTAAACTAGATCATTCCTGTGCAGCACTGAGCCACCACGGGGATAATCCAAGTACGCACCGGTCTAAGTGGTCCTCAAACTGTGGCTCTCCAGCTGTTTGGGCCTGGGTATTTTTCATAAACTTACCTGAGGAATCAGATGAGCTGCTCTCTTTCTTTGATTGAGCTGGTTTAGCAGGACTCTTTGCTGCAGGAGATTTTGCAGACTTTATTACCACCTTCTTCTCTTCTTCAGATGAAGAATCTGTGGAAGAAAAGTGCATTTTTCAAGTCTACTGTCAAATTTAATCTCAATTATCTATTCTATGGGGCCCCCTGGTGGAACAACGGGTCAAACCGATAGGCTGCTGAACTTGCTGCCTGAAAGGTTGGCAGTTTGAATCTGGGGAGTGGGGTGAGCTCCCTCTGTTCGCCACAGCTTCTGCCAACCTAGCAGTTTGAAAACATGCAAGTGTAAGTAGATCGATAGGTACTGCTTCAGCAGGAAGGTAATAGCACTCTATGCAATTATGCTGGCCACATGTTCCATGAAGATTTCTGCCAATTATGGAACTTCAAGACTAGCTTTTCTCAGCGAATTGCATCTCCTCCTCATATAGAGGATCCTTATTCCTAAAGCTACCCTCAAAATCCCTGTTTCCGTTTTAATTCCTTGAAGAAATTCAAGGTAATTAATCAAATCAAATGATTCTATAAGTTAAAAGTAGGAAAGCAAAAGTAATCTGTCTCATCCCATCCCTCCCCTCTGCTGCAAGGCACGCATTTCAGACCAATTTTGCAACCTGTTATTCAATTAGCTCCTAATACACTAAAAATATATAATATAGTATAGTGTTCCACCTGAATGTTCATATGTACACAGAAAACATAGAAAGCTGAATTATTTTGATGGAGCAGAGAGTTGAGGCAGTCACCTTATACAGCCCAGAACTATGATTTAGGATTACCAATAAGGTTGTTAGGTCAATTTTAGTAGTAACTCTCAAGTAACCAGAAACTACATTTACCAATCACCATGGATGCCAGTTAACTAAATGACAAGACCACATATTCCCACAGTAAAACAATGCAGTGAGTAAGAATCCAGAGAAGCTGCACGTTTGTATTCAAAATACTCACCTGAATCACTCTCTGAACTATCCTCTTCCTTTTTCGTAGGAGTAACACGTTGTTTCGCTACAGGCCCTTCAGTTACAAAAATAAAAATGCTAGCATTAAATCTTTTCCCTCCCACAAGACTATCATGACAATTCCAGGCTAACATACTATTCTCATTTTAAATATATTGCCAAGCACAGCAGTTAAGTCAATCTTAGCTGGAAGGCAACTGTTGTTCCTATCTTCAAAAAGGGGGGAACAAGAACCCAAACAAATACCACCCAGTCAGTCTCACATCAATACCAAGAAAGATTTGAGAGCAGATTGTTAAATAGACCATCTTTAAACACTTAGAAAGGAATGCCATAAAAAAATCAGCATGGGCTTCTCGAAAACCAAGACTAAACTATCTCCCTTTTTTAGGCTTGGTAGATGAAGGGAATTCTGTGGATGTAGCCTATCTTGATTTGAGAAAGGCCTTTGACAAGGTCCCCCATGATATTGTCACAAAGAAGCTAGTAAAATGTGATCTAGACAATGCTATTATCTAGCATTGGGAATCAGCTGATTGGCCTAAACCAAAGGGTGCTTCCCAATGCCTTCATCCTGAAGAGAAGTGAACAGTGGGTGCCATAGGAGCATGTTCTGGTCCCACTTCTAGTTAACATATTTATCAATGACTTGGACAATGGAACAGAAGGCATGCTTATCAAATTTGCAAATGACACCAAATTGAGAGGCATAGCTAGTAGCTGGATGGCATCCATTGGGGGTGCTTTGATTCTATGTTCCTGCAAGGCAGGGGACAGGATAGCCTTTATGGTCTCTTCCAACAGTATGAATCTATGAAATGCAAATGCATGTATGAACTGATTAGTTACTAGGTTTTGCTGAGGATATCTTTCCAGACAATGCACTCTACCTCAAGAAAAAAAAATGGAATTCTCCTTTAGTTCAGATGTTAAACTTGAATAATACTAGTCATCTTTATTTCTCTCCTGCCCCATCTCCCCAAAAGGACTCAGGGCGGCTAACGAAGTAAGTAAACACAACACTATGAAAAAAAATAAATGACAAGTTAACAAAAGAAAACAAACAAAACAAAACAAACAATAAAAAACATAAGTTAAAAACACATTTAAAACACAGTGGTTCCAATAGATTAAATAAGCTAAGTAAAAGCCGAAGTGCCCAAGTGTATCCATAAAACAAAGACCCCGTCCACATTAAGGGGATATTACTAATCAATTTCAAAGGCCGCTAGAATAGCCAAATCTTTAAGTCCTTCTTAAAAGTAATGAGGGTGGTTGCTTGTCTGATCTCCCTGGGGAGGGCGTTCCAGAGCCTTCCAGAGAATAACCACTAGACCCCTCAAAATTAGGATAAATGAACATCGTTCACGCATAAGGAATGGGTCCACTGACTCTTCACTATATGTACATTTTAATGAAAAAGCACATACATACCATAGCTTTAAATTTTGCGCTTTTGGAAAAAATATTACCCAGACCAAATGCGGATGTAAAAAAACTCCTTCTGCAAAGGGAATCCTTTTGGATCTTTAAACTACAAACACTGGTTCCTCTAGGACTAAATGACAAAATTGAGTACACTTGTTTCTTGTGAGTTATAATTCTACTTAAGAGACAGCCAAGCTAGGACTCATTGCTCGTTATAGAACTCCTACTACAACAGAGCCTGTGTTACTGAAGAGAATGTGAGTAGAGTAGCGTGTTTCTTTATTGTCATTACAAAATGTTTTTCTAGCAATGTTATTTTGGGGTTTTAATGTATCTATTGTGTATGTTATTTCTACTCCTTATCTAGTGCACTAAACATAATATGATAACAGACTACACCCTGAGGAAGATAATTGTTCGAAACAAGGATAACATTCCGGAAGACCTTGTAGAGATTTTGTTGCCTAAGAAAGACTTTGTTGTCTAAGAAGAATTCCTTGAGACTGTCTTGCTAAAAGAAGAACTCTTTTGAAGACAAAGATAGAGACCTTTGAATTCCTTTACTGAAAGGATGGACTCTATTACCTTTAGTCTGTTACTTATTTCTCTATGTTAATGTGCTGATAACAGTTTTGTTTAATGCTATAAAGTGTTAATGTGCTGATAACAGTTTTGTTTAATGCTATAAAGTCTCAGACAAGTTATGTCAATAGAGAATATTGTTGTATATTACTTTCTTGAGAGTCTGTTAAGATTTACATACATACATTTTTGTTCTATGTTATTATAGATACTTGTGCATTGCTCACTTGCGATGGAGGCAGGATCGAGAGGAGGGCCTCCCCAGCCGATCTCAATGCCCAAACAGATTCATGAAGGGAGATGTGGTTGTGTAAATAGGCAGGACGCAAACTGTATAGGTAATAACCTGCATTTTGAATTGGGCCCGGAAGCAAATAGGCAACCAATGAAGCTGCTTCAAAAGGGGGGTTATGTGTTCGCTATGACTCACCCCAGTCAGCAGCCTGGCTGCAAATCTTTGTACTAACTGAAACTTTCAGACACTCTTCAGAGGCAGCCCCACTTAGAGTGCATTGCAATAATTCATATGAGATGTAACTAAAACATTGACCACCGTGGCCAGATCTGGCTTCTCGAGGTACGGTCGCAGCTGGTGCACAAGTTTCAGACAAAATCTTGAGAACCTATAAACTATTTTCTAAGTCCCCTCAAAGTAGCCTCCAAACAGAGTCCAGGAGAACTTCAGCTCATGTATCTTGCCTCCTGAAAAAGGATGGGTGAATTCCGAAGTGAAATGCTGCACACCTTTAATTTTCCCACCCACACATTTTAGATGAAAATTGTAATAAACCACAAGATTGTATCTGTATGTATAATTCTTTCTTCAAATACATACCTGTTGTTCCCTTTTTGGACACCTGCATCTTTTTGTCATTTTTCTCCACCTTTTTCTTACAAGCAAGATCTTGTGCTTTGTTGTTCTTCGATGCCATGGACACAGGGGGTGGCACAGCACTGTACTGGCCTGCAAACAGAGATGGGGATCCAGATATACCAACCACCAAGGGACATATCTTCCCCAGCTGTGGAGATTGTTTCCAAAGGGGACCAATCCACCCCCAAAACCGAAAAGCAAGTTATAGGTGGCAGCACATAGCTGGCCAGGGGGAGAATATTAGGCTCAGATCATAACTACCAAAATGTATCCCATCGCTTTTTGTACTTGAGTCAATACATTTTCCCAGTTTTTCGTGGTAAATTTAGGTGCCTTGGCTTATATCCGGGTCAGCTTATACTCGAGTATATATGGGTATCTAAAACAAGGTGCAGATTACTAAAATTAAAACAGGCCATAACTAAGGCGTGTGTTGACCTGTCACAAGGCTTTAGTATAGCAGGTCAGTAGCTTTAAAATGTGTAAACACAGTCCTGACTATGGTTGAAACCTGGGCATTTTGGATGAGGGCTGAATACAGGAAAACATTCAAAATCTTCTAGTTTTCTAGTTTTCAGGTGGAGTGTGACTTCATCCAACAAACATTGAATCCAATTTCTTCTCTGTCTTTTAACAAAAGTATCTCCTGTATCTCTGATAGTGTAGCTTCAATAGTGGGGTACATTATTAATCCAAAGAGTTCAATATTGCTCACATCAGGAGTGGACAATTTTATTAGATGAGACATAAGCAACCAGGATGCACATTCTGGAAAAAATGGCAACTTTCCAATAAGAAACAGGAAAAAAACCAACCCCCCCCCCCCCCCCCCCCCGGGAAATGACTCTTTCATTAAAGGAAGGCTTCATGTCCTGGAGACTTTCAGAAACATCATTTCTCCTGTTTTAACTCCTCACCCATATCAAGCCATGGAAGACGCGGTTGAGAGGCTGCAGATACACATAGCTTGCATGTTGTTAACCCCTGGTCTACACTGATGGGCTTTCAGACAGACAACTTTCTCATCTCCATCACTATCTCAAGGACTGAACTTCTGCCACTCAGCTAAGGTTCCCCTTTAATACATTTTATAAATGTAAAGCAAATGTAAATGTAAATCTAACTCAATAAAAAAAAATTGGTTCCATTAACTCACCAGTCTTGGGCTTTTTGCGTTGCTTTTCCTCTTCAGAACTGTCAGAAGAATCTTCGCTGCTGCTACTACTGCTCTGCTTCTTCTGGGCTTTGCCTTTCTCCACAGGAGTTTGAACAACTCTGGGTTTGGGCTGTGGTGCTTTGCCTGCTTTATTCTTATCAACGGGGGCGGGGGGGGGGGGGAATGATTCTTGTATCATAAACATGCAAATGAAGTTTTTAAAAAATGTAGAAAATAAGGCTAAAGACACAGAAAGTCATGAAGGTACTGCCACATAGCACTCAGAGAAGCAATGGGACCTTTGATCCTCCAGATAGTAAATTACAACACCTCTCATCTCTCCCCATTAGCCAGGCTGGTTGAGGCTGATGAGAACTGAAAGTCCACTAGCATCTACACCAGGCATGGGCAAACTTCAGCCCTTCAGGTGTTTTGGACTTCAACTCACACAATACATAACAGCCAGTAAGTTGGTTGGGATTTCTGGGAATTGAAGTCCAAAACATCTGGAGGGTCGAAGTTTGCCCATGACTGGTCGAGACCACAGTAGAAAGTATTTCTATGGTTTCTTAATTAACAGATTTATTATTCTATTTCTTCTTAAGGGCCAAGTCTCACTTTGACTCTCAGGTGGGACAGGATCCTTATCATGAATACTAAAAAGATTAAATAAAAATGGATTGGAGAGAAAGAATGTGGGAATATATACTAATAGCCAAACTAACCAATAGTCCCCCAGGGGTGAGAAATGTGGTAAATAAATGCAGGAAATAAATAATAGGAAGAACAAAAGTAATGAGGACTTTTGGAAAAGTGGAATATGGCCATGGCATATCTAAGTGGAGAGTCAGTGACATATAGGAACACCATTAGGAATTAAGGATTGGGCTATGAACAAGGATAGATAAATTGGCTTAAAGGCTCCATAGTGCTTCAGTGTCAGAAGCCATGGCGGAGGGTGCATGGATGTGGGGGAAAGGTTTTATTTTGTGTGGGATATGGGTTTCGAGTGCGTGTATGGTCTGTAATATGTCATGTGCTGTGGTTTGAATGTTATGATGAAAGCTTATATTAATAAAAAATTAAATGACAAAAATAAAAAGAAAATAAATCTCCAGCCATACCCAATGAAACTGTCTTCGCATCACTGCCATTATCTTGCCCTAAATATGCGGCAGGCTATACTCCTGATCTTGTTTTACTGGCCAGTGTGAGCATGATCTATGGGTATTGGAGTTCAAAAGAACTCTGATCTCATGGACAGAAATGACCTGAAGTTTTACTTGCTGGAAGCGATCTCTGCAGAAGTGGGGAACTGTTAAAATAGTCCTCTAACAGCTCCAGAAAGACTGGCAATTCTATTGAGGCCCTTGCAGATTAGTGGAATAGAGAAATAGCCTGAGTGATAAAAACAATTGCTTCTAAACATCTTTTGAGTTCAGAGCAAAAGAACTTCGGCTCAGAGCAATGAAACACTTGATTAACGACCAGCATGATGGTTGTTAAGGCTTGGAATGAATGCAGACATACATTAGATTTTTTGCTGTCTCAATTACATTGACACAATCTAGTCAGTCACAGTTAAGTATATATTAAGGAGGTGAACTCAGAAATCCATTGTAATGAGTCTCAACTGGATTAGAGCAGGTCTCTTCACCTTTGGCCCTCCAGATGTTTTGGACTTTCGCTCCCAGAATTCCTGACCATTAGACAAGCTGCCTAGGGCTTCTGGGAGTTGGGGTCCCAAACACCTGGAGGGCCACAGGCTAAGCCAGTCTGTACTAGACACTGACAATAGAGTCTGAGTAGGTAATTGACGCATTGCCTATCCAGTTTTGATAGCTGAGTTTCAATTTGCTCAAAAAGATGCTGTGGTTATATTCATCATCTTGTTCATGTAACACAACTTCCTCATGTGAAAATAGTGGTATCCTCTTACACTGTGAGCCACACTGGGGACATAAGCTTCAAAAGCAGCTAAAATGTATATTAAATTAATTTATATATCTACACATTATTTCCTCTCTCTTCAGACACCTTGCATTAAATAGGGCATTTTATTTTAATATATAATTTCCCAAACAAATTAAATATGAAGAACAGGAATATAAACACTGTATACCTTCACTGGTCCTTTCTTTTCCGCATCAGAATCCTCACTACTGCTACTGCTGTCGCTGCTACTGCTACTCTCTGCTTTGCCATTAGTGATTTTGGGCACCACCTTCGTAACTTTGACTGTTTCTAATAAAAACAAAACAAAGGAGAACACAAATAAGAGCAAGCTCAGATATAACTGTTGCAAACACAGCAAGAACTGACTGCTCATTTTTAGGCATCAGCTTGCTGAACTGAACAACAATATTTCTTACCTCTCCTCATGGCTCAAGGAAGGTTACAACACGGCTGAAAGCACATAATCATCTAAAACATTCTATAACACTTAAACATGTAACAAAACCCACCGGGAAAGTTTTTAATGGGGAAAAAAATCAAATTTAAACTCCATCCAATATTTGGATCTTACCCAAGCTCACTGGACTCAATTGTCATAAAATCTCATTTGAAACTCTGCACGCTGAATTTCACATTGCAGCACTGAAAAAAGCAAATGAATTACCTGATTTTGATGGCTGCTGTGCTGCTTTTTTAGTTCCTGTCACCATTTTAGCTCCGGTTGACTTTGGCAACTGCTTCTTTGGAGCTTCATCTTCTGAGCTACTTGAATCTGAACTAGAACTACTTTGCTTCTTCTGGGGCTTTGTTTTTGGGGTGACTGTCTTCTTTACCTGGGGAACTTCTCCCTTCTAGTAAGACATGTAAGTAAATATCACAGGTTAGATAACTACATTGATTAAATTAAGGATTACTGAAACAGACTATAATTCAGACAATGGTGACATTTGTTTTATGGGGAATGGAGGCAGCTGAGAATATATCACATCCTTCAGCTCCTATCCAGTAGAGGTGGTGGGAAGTCAGTCTTTCACTGAAGCTTTTTCATCAACATTGATTTTGTTCAAAAATTCCAAGTTTAATGGCCATTTTATGTAGGGATCACAGTATAAATGTAACAAGTATTTAGGAGAAATAAAAAAATCATCCTAACCTTTGCTGGCTTCTTCTTTTCTTGCTCAGAATCTGAAGAGTCACTGGAGTCATCACTGCTGCTCTCAGCCTTTACAAGAGCTGCCTTTACAGGCGCCTTTGACACGGGGGTCACCTTACTGGCTAGATTTGTAAAAAAATTAACATTAATGCACACCCAGACTCATACACTTGTTTCTGCATCATATCCTGCATTGCCAGGAATTGTTTATACTCCATGTTTATTGCTGTAAACCAAATCTAGAACACTCATTCAGTTCCTTTAATCACATTATTAACTAACAGAATACTGCCTGTACATTTTGGTTTTAACATCACTTATGGAAACGGTTCTCAACAACTGCAACAGTTTTATTAATAAGGCAATTATGTCTGCCTAGTCAGTTAACCCATGTAATGGAGAGATAAATGGAGATAAAAAGCCACAGCCTCAAACCCACTGCTTCTTTTTTATGCCGATGGCCAGTACAGAAGGATGTACACAACTCCTCTCAGTTCTCGCTGGATATTTCCCAAAATCTTTCAGATGGAATGAGGCAACTATCCCTTTTGACTGGTGGCTGAAATTGCCTTCTGTCCATGTGAAACCATTCAATTACTTGTTCCCTGGGTGAATTCTGAGGAATGCTAATTTGCTGCACTTAAGACAGCTGACAACCCTTTACTTTGTTATTGACAATGGACCTTCAACAGTGTTGCACTATGTTTACGATCAACACTAAGATGTACTGGAATATAAATTTCATTACATGATTAATAAAGACCTCTTAGCAACTTATATTTACATTATACTATTGGTGGTGCAAACTGCAAAAAGCACAAGACTAATATCAAAAATGGAAAATTACCAGGAATCACCCTAGCAAAATAGAGTCCCTGTTCTAGAAGTTAGAGGCATCAAAGGGGACTGCCACTTGTAATTACCATGACTTCGCTTCATAAACCTTTTGACTCTGTTGTTTAATCTCAAGCTTTGAATAAAGACCTTTTTAAAATAGTAGCTTACCATATTTGATACCCTTTAAAACAACCGGAATTATGGGTCAAAAAGAATTGTTTATTTATGAACAATAGACTGACCCGGACTTTGATCTTTTATTTTTAAACCTGCATGATTTTAAGAAATGTTTATTACTGTGACTGTTTTAAGGAATTTGTTTTAAATGTATTTTACAACTGTGGGGGACACTGAATAGTACTTGTTGTGAAGCCACCCTGAGTCTCCCCTCGGAGTTGAGAAGGATGGGGTACAAATGTACGAAATAAATAAATAAATAATTGCTGTATTTATATACTGCCTTTCTCCTAGTATAAACATTTAAATCACATGATCCAGAAATTGTATACGATAACTATTCCAAATTGTCATCACACATGTTCCTTAATTATTCTTTGTACTGCATTATTCACTAGCCAAAGGCTTGATCCCACAACCACACCTTTGGTCTCTTTCCAAATAACTAATCAAGGCAATGTTAGAAATGATTTTTGGTGCTTCTTCACTTTTTAGGCTACAACTAATTAATGCAGTACTTATAAAGGCAAATACTCCCTAATATCACATGGTTTGGATACAGGCTATCTTCCCATATGTCTACTCCGAGATCCACTATCATGGGAACATGGCAGGAGGCCTTCTTAGTGGCTGATACCTAGTTCATGAACTCCCTCCCCAAAAATGTTACATGGCTCCCTCTTTGTTGACTTTTTATCAGGTGAATGTTCCCATGGGCTACAGGAACCATTTCCAAGAGCTTTTAATAAAATCACAGCATTGGAAGCAACCATATAGGCCACTGAATTCAACCTCCCCCTCATTGTAGATACTCCAATTAGAGCATTTCCAGAGGGCTTTCCAGACTTTAAAAAAAGATGTCCAAAGAAAGAGAGACCACTGCCTCTTAAGGCCAGTGATTCCATCACTGAACTGCCCTTGGTACTATTAGACCTGGTCTTACCCTCCGAATAGCAGAGAACAAACTTCCTGTCTTCGACAATACATTCCTGACAGAACTTTAGATATTTAAAGAATGCCATCTTCAATAACTGACTCTTCAATAGATTGAACCTGTCCAACTGCTTTAACCCTTCCTCATATCCCCCCCCCCCCCGCCCCACTTATTACAATCCTTGTTGTTCTTCACTGGATCTCTTCCAACTTGTTTATACCATTTTTAAAATTAAAGGCAGTATTCCAGTGTGTTGCGAGATGTCATTTTTTTCAGCATCTTTAGTCTCCAGCTCTTAATACATTCTTAGCATCTGTGTGTAGCCATATGAATGTTTTTAAGCAGTGCTCCTAGGCTCTTTCAATCAACTAGAAACTCTATAATTAGTACAAGAAAAAACTTGGAAGCATCACCTTTTTTAGGTGGGGGCTTCTCATCCTCACTGGAGCTCTCAGAACTGGATGAAGATTCTTCCTTTGCTTTTTTTACGGGAGGGCCATTGGGAAAAGCTTGCCGCTTCTTTGCTTCAGGTGATCTGAGAAGAAACATTACATTCAGTATCCTTTATTAAACTTGTGGTAAGGTCCTCTCATTGCCCCAAGCAGAGTGAGAAATGATGAAAACCAGTAAGCAGCACATTTCTATTCATGATTTCTACATATGCACATCCCTGCAGTCTATGACAGACAAATTTCTACTGTAAAAAATAAATCCTCATGGTGGTGGTGAGAATTGTAAATGTCATGAATGTGTATGTCCTAAAACAATATATATATATATATTATTTAAAAAGACAGGCATACTTCTAATCCTTATTAAACAGAACAGAAAAAGGGCAATTTTCCTTGTAGAACTATGCTACTTACTTCAGCCAATAGTTGAAGACATCAAGGAGTGAAGCAGCATTGGGATCTTGCTCTGTCTAAAAGTCAAACATGATACAAAATGAAGCAAATTACAACAGAATTCCTTTTCCCAAAAGATGCTGTGTCAATGTTTGAATTTTACAGCTTATGGAAAACTTGGACAGCCCTGTCATATTTTACACACTTTACAACATAGCTCTAATGATTTCAGGTATTTGATGGGCTCTGTACCAATGTATACATTTATAGCAATTCGGTTAAATACACAGGCAAATTTAATACATATGTCTTAACTAATGTGGTAAGACTATTCATAGACAGGAAAGTTATCTAGCAGTAAAATAGACACAAAAGTAAACAGGGCAAAATATGTGCTTGAGTACATGGTGGGAGTTTCACATGATTATGACAAGATGCCTCTCCCAGCAAACACACTGCCCTGCAACATAAGGCTGCCTGCAACATAAGGCCTAATGATATGCTATCCATTTTGGAGTTATGTTTAGATTTGTTTCCAAGTCAAAATGGTTAGTAAAATCTCATAACTCATTAAACCACTTGTAAGTTTTTGTGCGATTGTAACATGCTGCCATCGTGGAATATACTGCTTTGAAATTAGGTTCGTTTGAAAAATCCTGTATGTCTTCCCAGATTTCCTTTCAAGTTAATCTTAATATTACACACACACAGCTATTCATGTTTTCCTAGATTATGGGATATAAATTCTCATAGTCCTAGAATAGTGCATACAACTCCATACAGGATCTCTGTATGGGACTCTTACAGCAATGCTGCTGAAACCGTAATAGGGATGAGAAAATGTGACATGGGGCCCTTCCACGCAGCCCTATATTCCAGAATATCAAGGCAGAAAATCCCACATTATCTGAGCGTGGACTCACATAACCCAGCTCAAAGCAGACATTGTGGGATTTGATATTCTGGGATATAGGGTTGTGTGGAAGGGCCCATGGTGGAGCCTCCTAGGTAAATTTTACATCAAAGCAGCATGCCAAAACAGCAACACTTCTCCATAATGTTACAGAATCACAAAGGTTTCAATAATCAGAGCAAATAACTGTTTCGGACATGCATTCAGAAGTATCTTCTTGTTGCCAACACACTTGCATCACAGGCCCTTTCAGGCTTTTTAGGGCCCTTCCACACAGCAATGTAACCCAGAATATCAAGGCAGATAATCCACAATATCTGCTTTGAACTGGGTTATCTGAGCCCACACTGCCATATAATGCAGTTCAATGTGGATTTTATACAGTTGCATGGAAGGGTCCTTAGTGAGACAAAGCCAAACCTTTGGTTTTTCTTACTTACACACTGACCTCCATATCCAAGCTATGTCTGAAATCTACAGCCCCCTTCAAGCCACTCATATGACTTATATTAAGCTAGTTTCTGTGAATGTTTCTCCATTGATTTATATCCCTATTTACTCAAATAATAATAATAATAATAATAATAATAATAATAATAATAATAATAATGGATCGTCGATGTTGCAATGCCAGGTGACAGCAGAATTGAAGAGAAACAACTGGAAAAGCTGACACGATATGAGAATTTAAAGATCGAACTGCAAAAACTCTGGCACAAGCCAGTCAAGGTGGTCCCAGGGGTGATCAGCACACTGGGTGGAGTGCCTAAATACCTTGGCCTGCACTCAAACACAATCGGTGCTGACAAGATTACCATCTGCCAGCTGCAGAAGGCCACCTTACTGGGATCTGCACATATTATTTGCCGATACATCACACAGTCCTAGACACTTGGGAAGTGTCCGATGTGTGAGCCAATAAAACAGCCAGCAGAGTGATATTGTCTGCTGTGGACTCATCTTGTTGTGTTTCAAATAATAATAATCATCGTCATCTTTATTTATACCCCGCCACCATTTCCCCATCATCATCATCACCATCACCACCAACATCTTTATTTATACCCCGCCACCATTTCCCCAAAGGGGACTCATGGTGGCTAACATGAGGCCAAGCCCAGAATTACAGTTACAATAAAATAAAATACAAACAGCAAATAATATCAAAATAAAATATATAAAATAACATGAAATTAAATAAACAGATGCAAAATAACATGATCCAATGCTTACCTTTTTTGACTTAATTACCTCTACAAAATAAGGCTGCGCATTAGAGGGCCCTTCCACACAGCCTTATATTCCAGAATATCAAGGCAGAATAACCCACAATATCTGTTTTGAACTGGGTTATCCGAGTCCACGTTGCCATATATCCCAGTTCAAAGCAGATAATGTGGGATTTTATTCAGCTGTGTGGAAGGGGCCCTACTTTGGTGTTTTGACACTATTTTTTAAAAGCAGCAATGCTAAGCAGGCAGCCACTGTAATATATCCTAGGGGAGGCCTCCTCCAACTGGGGCCCTCCAGCTGTTGGGGCCTCCAACCCCGAGAAGCCCTTGCTAGTTCAATGGTCAGGTATTCTGGGAGTTGGAGGCCCAACTGGACCTGGTCTCGCCTGGCCTTCCCTGCGGATCAGGGCGCCCCTCAGGAGGGAGGCCCGGGTCCCACGTGGCGGAGCAGCCCTCCCCGCATGCAGCGCCCCTCCGGCGAGCGACAGGGCCCGGCCACGCCCCCCACAAGGCCCTCACCACGCCGGCCGCCTTCCCGAACGCGCGCGCCGCCCCGTCGAAGTGGTTCTCCCTCAGGAAGGCCAAGACTAGCGGGAAGAGGTCGCTGGGCACCACACGCGTCTTCGCCGCCATCTTGCCGCCGGAAAAGGACGCAGCCCCGCCCCCTGCCCCGCCCACGAACCTTGGAAAGGAGCGGTTGGTTGGGAGGAAAACATAGAGATAGAAATAGTTAAGAGAGACCTCACGCTCTGAACTTCTGGCTGTGCGAGTTCAAAACCATGGTCATCATTAAGGACCCTTCCACACAGCCCTATATCTCAGAATATCAAGTTAGAAAATTATCTCTGTATGGACTCAGATAACCCATTTTAAAGCAGATATTGTGGGATTTTCTGCCTTGATATTCTGGGATATAGGGCTGTGTAGAAGGGGCCTTAGAGGTTAGTTTGAATCTACACTTACAATGCACTAAATAAATAAATAAATATTCTGTGATATAGGGTTGTGTGGAAGGGCGCCTAATCTTCTCTAATGGTCACAGAACAGTCATTTTGATTGAAAAATGCTTGTGTAGGATCACATGAACTATTTACCCTTATTGTTGTTCTAAATCAGTTAGAGCAAAATTCTATACTAACTCTTATACTTCAGATGAGTTCTTCAGTAGGTTTATTTCTGGGTAGAGATACACAGAAGAACACAATGTCTCTGTCAAAGAAAGGAAAGCTTGGCTTTGCATAGGACAGATTATCAAAGCAGATATCTTTGAACCCGATTATATGAGTCTATATTGCCATATAATCCAGTTAAAATCAGATAATCTGGATTTTCTATGACAGTGTAGAAGGGGTCTGAGACTGTAACATAATCACAATTTTCTCCTCTATGATTTTCACAGCTTTGCCTGAGGAAGAAGTCATGAAACTTTGGCCCCTTTACACTGCCATTTAAAATCCAGATTGTCTGTTTTAAATTGGACTATATGGCAGTGCAAATTCATATAATCCAGTTGAAATCTGGATGTGTTTTGACAATCTGGATGATATGTCAGTGTAGAAGGGGCCTTTGGCCCCTTCTGTACAGGCCCTATCTCCCAGGGTCTGATCCCAGGTTTTCTGCTTTAAACTGGATTATATGAATCCGCCCTGCCAGATAATCTGGGATAAACAGGAAAACTGGGATCAGATCCTGAGATATAGGGCCTGTCTGGAAGGGCCCTTTGAAAACTTGCGAACATTTTCTGGATGCCACCTGGTGGCTGTATTAGGCTTTTACACAAACCTATCACTGTAATGTTTGCAGTGGACTCTGCAGAAAGTGCTTCAGCAGTACTCCACAAAAAGGAAAAACAGCCTGTTTAGTATGCCTTGCAACTGATGATTTATATTGAGTACATGCTTGACTTGTATACCTATTTTATATACCTACTAGCTGTACCCGCCACACGTTGCTGTGACTAACCTTCCCTCCCTCTTCCTCTTTTTTCTTTCTCTACTTCCTTCCTTCTCTCCCTCTTTCCTTCCTCCTCTTTTTTCTTTCTTTCTTGCTCTCCTTCCCACCTTCTCTTCCTCTTCCCTTCCTTCCCCTCACCTTTTCTTTCCCTTCCTCTTTCCCTCCTTTCTTCCTTCTCTACCTATTCTTGGACTGCAACTCCCAACAGTCCTCCTGATCCATCTACCTACCTACCTATCTCCATCTAATCTATCTATCTGGAGGATTGCTGGGAGTTGCAGTCCAGTAATAGGAAATTGGAAATATGCAGGGATTAGGATGCTCTCAAAGAAATCCAAGGAGAAGAAAGCTTGCAGCTTGGAAGCAGTGCATTTGGATCATCCTCCACTCCTAAAGGGCCTGGTCTAGGGGATGTTGGGAACTGTAGTCTGGAAGAGGGTTTGGATATGCTATTGTGTGTTTTGTTTGCCAAGGGGAGTCACTTTTGCACATGCGCTGTAGCGTTTTTTTGCTTTTTTGGCTTTTCAAGTCCCTGTGTTTTTCAGTGTTTTTATGATTGATGGTCACTTGTTGGCCTGATAAGTATATTGTGTCCAAATTTGGTGTCAATTCATCCAGTGGTTTTTGAGTTATGTTAATCCCACAAACAAACATTATATTTTTATTTATATAGATATATGTGAAATCACATAAAGATTATTTAGAAGGAACAGGTTGTGAGTGGGAAAAGTTTAAGAAGGCCTGATATAAAGCATCACTGCTAGTACTGTTGAGTTTAGTGGAACTTACCTACATACAGACTGGCCTGTAAGGGATTCACTTGCTCAGCCTGATGTTATGGTCTGGTCAAGATGACTACCTGCAGCTATGACTTTCCTGTGGGGAGCAGTACATGGTACCTGACTAACCATGGAAAGGAAGCAAGAAAGAGTACCACAGGGATTAGCAGAGCAAACAAAGAGATTCATGCCACAATTATATAATGAGGAACTCACGGGGTCTGTAAGGGAAGGTCTACTGCTCATGGTTTTCCTTTCTGGTATAAACCACCTGCACGGTAGGAGGGCTAGTTCTGCTTTCCACTACTCAATGTGACGTGCAAGAAAACATAATGGAGAGTCGCTCAGGTACTTCCCTGCAAGAGAAATGTGCTGGTCCATATATTTCCAAATGATCAAAGCATGTTCCTGTTGTTGTTGTTGTTTGTGGTGGTGTGTGCCTTCAAGTAATTTCTAACTTATGTTGACCTGAAGGCAAACCTACCCCAAAGTTTTATTGGCAAGTTTTGTCCAGAGGGGGCTTGCCTTTGGCCCCATCTACATTCCATTTCTGAATCCCGATTGTCTGCTTTGAACTCAGGTCCCTTCCACACAGCTGTATGAATTCCACATTGAACTGAATTATATGACAGTGTGGGCTCAGATAACCCAGGGCCTTTTCACACAGTCTGTATCCCAATATATCAAGGCAGAAAATCCCACATTATCTTAGTGTGGACTCAGATAACCCAGTTCAAAGCAGATATTGTGGATTTTCTGCCTCGTTATTATGAGTTATATGGTTGTGTGGAAGGGCCCCCAAGTCCATACTGCCATATAATCCAGTTCAATGTTGACTTTATACTGCTGGGTGGAAGGGGCCTATTTACACGGCCCTATTTACACTGCCATATAATCCAATTCCAATAACAGTAGTTGGTTTTTTTAAAAAATCTTAAATTGGGGAAATTTATGTTGTACCTTTTTGAATATTGAAAAGGAACAGACACTAAACCTGACTCAGGCATTCAGTTCATTACACTTCCCAAGTGTCTAGGACTGTGTGATGTATCGGTTAATAATGCATGCAGATCCCAGTAAGGCAGCCTTTTGCAGCTGGCAAATGGTAATTTTGTCAGTGCGGATTGTGTTTAAGTGCAGGCCAAGGTCGTTAGACACTGTACCTAGTGTGCCGATCACCACTGGGACCACCTTTACTGGCTTGTGCCAGAGTCTTTGCAGTTCGATCTTTAAATCCTCATATCGTGTCAGCTTTTCCAGTTGTTTCTCTTCAATTCTGCTGTCACCTGGGATTGCGACATCGACAATCCATACTTTGTTTTTTAACATGATTGTGAGATCAGGAGTATTGTGCTCCAAAACTCTGTCTGTCTGAATCTGGAAGTCCCAGAGTAGCTTGACATGTTCATTCTCTGTAACTTTTTTCTGGCTTGTGATCCCACCAGTTCTTTGTCGCAGGCAGATGGTATTTGTGGCATAAGTTCCAATTAATTATCTGAGCAATGGTGTTATACCTCTGTTTGTAGTCTGTCTGCGTGATCTTCTTGCAGCAGCTGAGGATGTGATCTATTGTTTCATCTGCTTCTTTGCAGAGTCTGCACTTGGGATCTGTCTTTTCAATTCTGGCTCTGATGGCATTGGTTCTTGGGCTGCCAGAATCAGGCCCTCCGTCTTGTTTTTCAGAGTTCCATTTGTGAGCCACAGCCATGTTTTTACTTTCTCAATTTGGCTCTCAATTTTCCCCAGGAACTGTCCATGGAGAGCCTTCTTTTGCCAGTTTTCTCTTCTGTTCTGGATTGCGTTTTTATGGTATTCACTCTTTATCTTTTGCACTTGAATCAGTTTACTACTATTGACTTCCCTCAATGTTGGTTCTTAACCGCCTTTCCCATAATCTGCCAGTGCGTGTTTTCTCTTATTCTACCGTTTGTTTAATTTGCAAAAGCCCTCTGCCTCCTGATTTTCTGGGCAGGTAATGTCTATCAACATCACTACATGGGTGTGATGAGTAGTGGATTGTCATCAGTTTTCTTGTTTTTCTGTCCAGATCATCCAGCTCTGCTTGTGTCCAGTTCACAATTCCAGCCGTGTATCTAATGATGGGGATGGCCCAGGTGTTGAGATCCTTCATTGTATTTTCGCCATTTCATTTACTCTTCAAATGCATATAGGTGTATATATATTTGTGTATATGGGTATATATGTGTGTTTGTGTATATAAGTGGTTTTGCACATGCGTTGTAATGCATGTTTGGGTTTTTTGTACTTTTAAGTCTCTTCTGCTGTGTTTTTCAGTGTTTTTATGAGTGATGGTCTGTCGTTGGTCTGATAGGTGTCTTGTGGCCAAATTTGGTGTCAATCCGTCCAGTGGTTTTTGAGTTATTTTCATCCCACAAACGAACATTACATTTTTTTAATGTAAGACTAGCTGTCCCCTGCCACACATTGCTGTGGCCCAGTCTATTGATCTGGAAAATAAAGTAATGAGAAAGCGTTGGTTTCTAATATATGTAGTTTCTTTATGCTTGTGGGTAAACAGTGTTTCTTGCTGTTTCTTCGTCAGTGTTGATGTGGAGTGTCTGGTTTGCCCACACTGGAACATGCAATGTATCATTGTCCTTCTTCAAGGGTCCCTTTCAAATCTATGATACTATATGTGTGTGTGTGTGTGTGTGAATCATATCTATCTATATCTATGGCTGGATGGCTCTGTCAGGAGGGCTTTGTTTACATTTTCTTGCCCTGGAGAAGGGAGTTGGGTTGGATGGCCTTAAGTATTTTCTGTTGGTCATGGGGGTTCTGTGTGGGAAGTTTGCCCCATTTCTGTTGTTTGTGGGTTTCAGAATGCTCTTTAATTGTAGTGAACTATAAATCCCAGTAACTACAAATCCCAAATGTCAAGGTCTATTTCCTCCAAACTCCATCTGTATTCATATTTAGGCATATGGAATTTTTGTGTCAAGTTTGGTCCAGATCCATCATTGTTTGAGTCCACAGTGCTCTCTGGATGTAGGTGAACTACAACTCCCAAACTCAAGGTCAATGCCCACCAAACCCTTCCAGTGTGTTCTGTTGGTCATGGAAGTCCTGTATGCCATGTTTGGTTCAATTCCATCATTGGTGGAGTTCAGAATGCTCTTTGATTGTAGGTGAACTATAAATCCCAGCAACTACAACTCCCAAATGTCAAGGTCTATTTCCCATAAACTCCATCTGTGTTTATATTTGGGCATATGGAATATTCGTGCCAAGTTTGGTCCAGATCCATCATTGTTTGAGTCCACAGTGCTCTCTGGATGTGGGTGAACTATAATTCCCAAACTCAAGGTCAATGTCCACCAAACCCTTCCAGTTTTTTCTGTTGGTCATGAGAGCCCTGTGTGTTAAGTTTGGCCCAATTCCATCACTGGTGGAGTTCAGAATGCTCTTTGATTGTAGGTAAACTATAAATCCCAGCAACAACAATTCCCAAATGACAAAATCAATTTTTGGAGTGGAGGACATACATTGGGTTGTTAGGTGTCTTGTGTCCAAATTTGGTGTCAATTCCCCCAGTGGTTTTTGAGTTCTGATGGTATCACAAACGAACATTACATTTTTATTTATATAGATGATGATGATGATGATTATTATTATTATTATTATTCTGAGTCAAACGTGTGCCAGGAAACATTTACGGATGTGGTGTTTATAGGGCGGAGGAGGAGTGACCAGTCCCTCGTCCCTGTGGCTCCCCTGCTGTCCTCAGCTGGGAAGGACACTCCACCCCTGACGCCCCCAGCGAAGCCACGGCAGGGCAGAAAGGGGAAGGAAGTGATCGACGGCTCTTACCGCAGAAGCAGGAGGCGGAGAGGGGAGGGGAGCGGGCCCCTCCGCTTGGCGTCTGCTCAGGACACAGCGGCGGGGCAGAGGCGCGTCTGTCGCGGGCGACGGACGGGGCGTCCGGCATGGCAGCCACCCGAGGTAAGCCAAGGCGAGGCTGGACTCTCTCTGTGTCTCCCTCTCTCTCTGTGGGGCTTTGCTGGGCATCTTGCACTCACCAGAGGCGGTTCCTTCTACTGAAAGCTCATGGGCGTCAAGTTTATGATCATCCAGGGCCACCCCAGGCTTCAATCCATGGATACAGAAGGCCAGCTATCAATTCGTTTACATAGTGGTCAGTGCTCTTTAGGGTCCTTTCCCACAGCCCTATATCCCAGAATATCAAGGCAGAAAAATCCCACATTATCTGAGTGTGGACTCAGATAATCCAGTTCAAAGCAGATATTGTGGGATTTTCTGCCTTGATATTCTGAGATATAGGGCTGAGTGGAAGGGCCCTTAGTTTTTACCCAGTTTAGGACCCCAGGTGCTATCAAACCACAACTCCCATCCCTTTGGATGATCCACCATGCGGATTGGGGATGATGGGAGTTGCAACCCATATGACTTTTTTGGCTCTGAAGTTGGAGAATGGCCTAAAGCAGGCATGGGCAAACTTTGGCCCTCCATGTGTTTTGGACTTCAACTCCCACCATTCCTAACAGCCTACCGGCTGTTAGGAATGGGGGGAGTTGAAGTCCAAAACACATGGTGGGCCAAAGTTTGCCCATGCCCAGAGGCGGCCCTAGGTAATTTTCAACGGTAAGCAAACAGTATTTTGGCGCCCCCCCCCCCCAACCAATCACTGATATATATTTTCTGTTCATCGTGGGAGTTCTGTGTGCCATATTTGGTTCAATTCCATCATTGGTGGAGTTCAGAATGCTCTTTGATTGTAGGTGAACTATACATCCCAGTAACTACAACTCGCATATGTCAAGGTCTATTTTCCCCCAAGAGCGCCTCAAGAGCGCCCCTGGGCAAAATCAACTATACTGCGAATGTTTACTTTGCGTAATGGGTTGAGCTGCCCCTGCCCATGCTGGGCTAAAGGGTATTTTGAAGTCAGGCATCCTATCCACAAGCATTGTAGCTAAACCCAAACCCTACTCCTTTGATGAAACAGGACAAATTGTAGCCTTCTACAGCCCCTTCCACACAGCTGAATAAAATCCCACATTATCTGCTTTGAACTGGAATATATGGCAGTGTGGACTCAAGGTCCTTCCACACAGGCATATAACTCAGCAGATAATCCACAGTATTTGCTTTGAACTGGAATATATGGCAGTGTGGACTCAGGGCCCTTCTACACAGGCATATAACTCAGCAGATAATCCACAGTATTTGCTTTGAACTGGAATATATGGCAGTGTGGACTCAAGGTCCTTCCACACAGGCATATAACTCAGTAGATATTCCACAATATCTGCTTTGAACTGGAATATATGGCAGTGTGGACTCAGGGCCCTTCCCTGAGTCCACACTGCCATATATTCCAGTTCAAAGCAAATACTGCGGATTATCTGGCTGTGGTTCCACACAGCCATATAACCCAGCAGATATTCCACAATATCTGCTTTGAACTGGAATATATGGCAGTATGGACTCAGAGCCCTTCCAAACACACATATAACTAAACAGATAATCCACAATGTCTGCTTTTAACTGGAATATATAGTACTGTGGACTCAGGGCCCTTCCACACAGCCATATAACTCAGCAGATAAGTCACAATATCTGCTTTGAACTGGGTTATCTGAGTCCACACTGGCATATAATCCAGTTCAATGTGGATTATATAGAGCAGTGTGGAGTGGGCCTCAGATAACCCAAAGCCCTTCCACACAGCCATATAACCCAAAATTTGAACTGGTTTATCTAAGTCCACACTGCCATATATTCCAGTTCAAAGCAGATAATGTGAAATTTTATTTGGCTGTGTTGAAGGGGGCCCAGTTCAAAGCAGATATTGTAGGATTTTCTGCCTTGATATTCTGGGATATAGGGCTGTGTGGAAGGGCCCTCAGATAACCCAGTTGCCCTTCCACACAGCCCTATAGCCCAGAGTATCAAGGCAGAAAATCCCACAATATCTGCTTTGAACTGGGTTATCCGAGTTCACACTCCATATACTGTAATCCAGTTCAAAGCAGATAATGTGGGGGTTTCTGCCTTGATATTCTGGGTTATATGGCTGTGTGGAAGGACCCTAGATGTTAAGAGTATTACAACTCCCTTCTGGTTTAGTCATGATGTCTAATGATGTCTAATACAGGGGTTGTAGTTCAGTATCTGGAGGAGGACTGCCTAAAATGGTATGGAAGGCTGGATATGGCTCATGGGCTTTAAGTTTGACACATATGTTCACAGGATGTCACGCAACAACAAAGTTTTTGCAGTTTAAAATAAACCTTTTCCATGGTAGAACCGATTAGGAAATGACATTTATAACCCAAGAACAAAAATATTTCTAAAATACTGAATAAATCGTCTTACCAGCTATGAATCAGCAATTCAGTGTCCTTTTTAAATCCAAGTGTGCTGATTGGGCAATAAAAATGGCTAGGAAATAATTAATTAGCATTTGCAAAAACCTCAAATCGCATCATTTGAGCTGTTGTATCTTAAAGTCAGGACCCCCCGTTGGTGCAGCAGGTTAAACTGCTGAGCTGCTGAACTTGCTGACCAAAAGGTCGGCGGTTCAAATCTGGGGAGCAGGGTGAGCTCCTACTGTTAGCCCCAGCTTCTGCCAACCTAGCCGTTCGAAAACATGCAAATGTCAGTAGATCAATAGGTACTGCTTCGGCAGGAAGGTAACAGCGCTCCATACAGTCATGCTGGCCACATGACCTTGGAGGCTTCTATGGACAATGCCGGCTCTTTGGCTTAGGAACAGAGATGAGCATCACTCCCCAGAGTGGAACACAACTAGACTTAATGTCAAGGGGAAACCTTCTCCTTTACTATCTTAAAGTCAACTAAGTTTCACAGTACAACACAGGCTATCACATATTTGGACACTGACTAACATATATTAATTTTTTTTGCTGCCGTGCAATATTTTCTTAGGCATTGAATGTTGTGCCAAGATGTTGTAACAGGGCAGCAAATGGAAGTTTCACCCGTTGAAATCCCCAGGTCTTTTAAGGGCTCTGAAATCAGCTACTGAGAGCAGTCAAAAGAGAAAGCATCCAGTATCTCTTCCTTTTTTGCATTTTTTCTGAGATAGTAATGTGCAAAAGAGAACTTGCATTTTGTTCCTTGTGGGAAACTGAATGAGCTGTCCTCACATGAGCAGCACTCATGTGCATCACATTATTCACAACTGTGTTACAGAGGAAATGCAATACTGCAGCACCTAAAATTACCCCCAGTGAGAAGACTATTATATAAATCTTCAAAAGGCATGCATACTTGTATTTATTAATCCTTTATATTTGTGTGTTGAATGCTTAATAGCATTTAATAGTTAAAAGTAACACAACACAAACATAAAAACTTGTTGTGTCTATGACTAAGTACTTTAATGCCAAACTACCAGAATTTCTCTAACAACTTGGTAAAGCTTGCTTACTTACTTAAGCGATACTTGGCCTTTCATGTGTAGTATCTTGGCAGTGGATATGTATTTATTATTTATTTATTTATTATACTTGTATACCGCCGTTTCTCAGCCTGACCAGCGACTCAACGCGGTTTACAACAAGATAAAATCCACAACAATATACAATGTAAAACCACAAAGGCATAAAATACAATATTAATGTAACAGTAAACAACACCATACATCTCATAACTAAAATCATGATCCAGTTCGTCGTCCGATTTTCCAATTCCTGTAATCATCACATTGGTTGCACTGTTTAACCGAATGCTCGTTCAAACATGTAGATGACTGTGGAGCCCTATTCTTGACCCACATGTTTTTTCACAGTGAAGACATTGGTTTCCAGGTGGAAAGCAGTCCCAGTCAGGGTTGGCTTGAATCGCCTTCCTCTTGTCATTCTTCTCCCTTTCGCCCTCCATTTGTGCCTCTTCAAATTATGCAGCACTGCTGGTCACAGCTGACCTCCAGTTAGAGCACTCAAGGTCCAGGGCTTCCTAGTTCTCGATGTCTATGCCATAGTTTTTAAGGTTAGCTTTAAGCTCATAATTAAATCTCTTTTCCTGTCCACCAACATTTTGTTTTCTGTTCTTGAGTTAGGAGTATAGTAATTGTTAGAATTATAGTAATTGTTTTGGGTAACGGTGATCGGGCATTTGGTAGCCATTTGGTAAAGCTGCTACATTTTATATCACTTGTCTTTTCCCCATACCAGGTCCACCATCTAAAATTATCTCCATTCTTGTTAACATAAAGACTGTGTAGTTGTTCTGTCTTTTGCCAAGAAATAAACTATTGTGTTTTATATTTTAGGTTTTTTATTTTTTATTTTCTGTTGTGTTTTTGTGCTATATTGTGTATATTGTATTAATGGGCATGGCCTCATGTAAGCCGCCCCGAGTCCCCTTGGGGAGATGGTGGCAGGGTATAAATGAAGATTATTATTATTATTATTATTATTATTATTATTATTATTATTATTATGGAGACAGTTCTGATACTAATATAATATAATATATTGTATATACATAAAGTATTTATAATATTATAATGTAATACAATATAATACTAATACTAATACTAATAATACAATATTATAATTATATATTTTATATTACATGTAATATTACTAATAATATTACAATATTATGGAATAGTACAATATAGTAATATATAATACTGATATTGTACTACGCTAATAATTTAATATGTTCTATGTATATATATCTTGTAAGCCACTCTGAGTCCCCTTCGGGGTGAGAAGGGCGGCATATCAATGTAGTAAGTAAGTAAGTAAGTAAATAAAGAAATAAATAATAGTATGTTTTCAAAAATGAAGGCTCAAAACATTTCTACCATTGCTTCTCCCTTACGATGAAGCCTCAAACTATCAGATTACCTAATAAAGTTTTGGGCCCCATCTACACTGCCATATAACCCAGTTTCTGAATCCAGATTATATGCTTTGAACTTGATTATATGGCAGTGTAGATGC